AAGCAAGAGGTAAAGTTGCTTGGGAAGAAAGGGAATGGATTTAGCTCCACTGAGAACAGGAAGTGTTTATCTTGGTAATCCCAAAACCTGGAAGGTTCTTGGCACAAAGTGCTCTAAATCAATTCTTGTGAGTAAGTGTTGAGCGAGTCTCAGGAGCCCTGCTTTCCCGCTGCCACTCAGGTCCTCTGATGCATCCTGACAGCAGCCAAGCAGAGTGGAGGCAGGGGGGCCAGGAAGGGACCGTGTGGTTTAGGGGGAACCCTGGTGGCTTCCCTTCCATTTACTGCTGCTGCTTTTATTTATTCATTAGTTTATTTGTTTATTAAAAATATTTGTATTGATTTCAGAGAGGGAAGGAGAGAGAGAAACATCAATAATGAGGGTAAGTCGTTGATTGGCTGGCTCCTGCATGCCCCACCCTGGGGATATAGCCCACAATATGGTATGTGCCCCAGCTGGGAGTCGAACCTTGACCTTCTGGTTCATAGGTCGATGCTCAACCACTGAGCCACGCTGGCTGGGCACGGCTGCTTTTCTTAAACCTTAAGTCTCAGAGACACCCACCACCTCCTACGTTCAGCCCCAGGATGCGAAGTCATCCCCAGCTGGGTCCCCAACATGCTGCCCACTTTCTGGTTCTGAGTCTGCCCTGGCATCCGCATCCCGGCCGAAGCGCTTCCGGGCACTGAGGCAGCCTCAGCGCGGGTGAAAGACTCAATGAGCCACCGAGAGATGGTCCACCCTCCCTGCAATGCCGAGGCCTAGGCAGCAGTGGCGAACGCTGGAGAATTTCGCACAGAATACCTTCTCTGGGGCCCCTGCCTCTCCTCCCCAACCTGCCTCCTGAGTAGCCCGTCTCAGCCAACCCTGGACTGCAGGCCCGAGGTTGGGGTTCAGCATAGACCTCGTGGGAGCAGGCCGTCAAGCATCACCCTCATTTTCCCTGAATACATTGATGTGAGAACAGACGCAGCTGGGGTTACCACTGGTGGTTGTATTCTCTGCTTCCTCAGAGTGCGCAAAGCAAACGTAAAGACCCCAACCCCGCTTCCTGTAAAACAGAAGGCGGCCTGAGGGCCTTTCAAAAAAGTCTTCTGGTTTCTTTTCCTTGTTGGGCCTGGGGAAGCGTTTGGAGAAATATTTCAGTCCGTCTAAAAGAATAACTCTGGCTGCGATGAGATGTTCTGGGCAAGTGCAGATGCGGCTGAGTCATCACCCTAGTGCTTGTGTTTCTTAAAAATAAATCCCCTGCAATGTTCTAATTTTAGCCGGGGGAGACCTTGGAAGAGCCTCTGCCCCCACAACAGTGCCAGCTCTGGCCCCGAGCGGAGCTGGCAGGGTCAGAGCGGCGTTTCTGGCTGGGCCGGCGGGCAGGTGGCACTGTGATAACCCACTTCTGCCCTTCGCCAGGCCAGGAAATGGTGGCCAGTGTGGCTGTGAAAGAAAAGGGTTTCCTCTTCCAGGCAGTTTACCGGGATTCTCATTTCCTGCCTATGTTAGTCTTGTTTCCTCCCCTAGTTTCTGGGTACCTATGGAGATACAGCCTCGTCCCCTTCCTTTGGAAGCCCTCACACTTCCTGTCACTGCAGAACCACATGAGCTTCCCGAGTAGGCAGGTTCCCCAAGTGGCTTCCAAGGTGAGGTAAAGCCTCCCCTATACGGAAACAAACAAACAAACATGTTCTTCCTACTTACTGATTCTTAGAATGTTGTCACGGCGACTTGATTGTCTGGCCGAGGGCCTTGTCTCTGTTGAAATGAAAATAGCCCCCCGGTAAAGGTAACAGAATGAAGCCCCGTCAGCCATTTGCATGTTAGTGAGAGCTGGACCGGTCTATTGAGAGATTCAGGATATTCAACCGTGGGGATTCGCAGATGAATTTCCTCGGTCCTGCTCCCACGGTGATCCCAGTCTCCAGGGCAGGCTCAAGGTTAGGAACCTGCAGGATTCTGGAACCGATGAACTAACGGAAATGCCCTAGGAAGTCAGGAAATTCTCCACGGGAGAAGGCGCATCTGGGCTGGACCTTGAAGGGATGGCGGAAGGGAAGGCATGCGGAGGGCATTCCGGAGCCGCGGTGCGGAGGCGCCTGGGAGGATGCTTTGCGTGGGCCGCAGAGGGCAGACAGGGCGGTTGGCATCTGGCTAAGGACATGGGCTCTACATCCTGGGGACAGACTCTGGCTCCAGCACTTGCTCGCCGTGTGACGTTGCTTTGAGCAGGTTTCCTAACTTTCCGTGCCTCTGCTTTCTCCCCTGTTGAGTGGTTAGTAACTGTAACAACCCCATCAGGTTATGGTGAGAATTCATCCCTATAACCCTCCTACAACAATGCCTGGCACACAGTAAGGCCTAATGCACAGAAGCTTTTTATAATAGACACTTCTCTGCACCTGGAAGGCCTGGGGGAGCTGGTGGAAGTGCTTATGGAAGGGTCAGAAAATGGAGGCGCAAGACCCCAAATTAAAGTGCATTTATTTTCAAGGGTACCAATAGAAGAACATGAGTAAAGGTAAATGGTGGAGTGTTAGGAAGACACAAACTATGAGAAATGTGGTGAAAATTCTGTTCCGCCAGGCTGAGGGGCTCCTAAGTGAGGCCCTGAGGAGGTGGCGTGCCTGTGATTGGTTGTGGGGACTCCCACACCTCAGGGCTGAGGGGGGAAGCTTTGTTCTCTCCTTGACCTACCCTGTAGCCGACCCTGCTGCCAACTTTCCTGGGGACAGGACCCAGGGAGAGAAAATAGGTGAGTGCAGATTTATCTTTACCCCTGACAAACAATAGGAAGCCGGTGTCTTACTAAGCAGTGTTGTTATACAGGAAGGGCAGCACATGGAGAGTTTCAAAAGCGGCGTGGCTTGGTGTGGAGGAAGGTCCCAGGCCAGGAAGGAAGGTTCAGAACCTGGGGGAGCTCTTTGGCGGATGCTGCAAGGGCCATGGGACAGGGATTGTCTTGTTAAACACCAGGAATTGCTTCATTTTCAGGGACAACCGGAGAGCTAAAGAGCCACCGGGGCCTAGGTCCTGCCCAGGGCTCCCTGGAAGAGACTGCCTCTTAGAAGTCAGTCTCTACACTTCCTTTAGGGCGTGGCAGCTTGCCCTGAGTGGAATTGTAGAGAACTGGCTAGAGACACGTTCTCCTTACTTTAAATACTAACCTTCAGGCCTACTCAGCTCTCACTGTTCCCAGCATGTGTCTGAATTAGCCTTGTATTCATGGGTTAACGGAGGGAAACGGAGGGAAACGGGACCAATTAGGATAACCTTCCCATGGCCGTGGGACAGGTTAGCTTGAAGCTGTGGCTTACCCATGATTCACCATATGTGAACCAAGCTCAACTGGGTGGGTGGGTGGGTGGGAGGGCTCTTACTACTCTCGGCCTCTTCAGAGAGCCACCTGGGGGCCCAGCCCCAGCTGTCACTTCCCCAAGGAAGCCAGGAAAGGGGGAGAAGCGGAAGGGCACATGCCAAGTGTCCTTTGAACAGGTGTCCTGGTAACTGACAGCCACTCCCCATGTCTACTTAGTCCAAGGCTACGCCCAGCGTCAGGGAGGCTGAGAAAGGTGGCGTGTATTCTGGGCAGCTCTGTGCCCAGCTAGAAACAGGGGTGTCTTTTTTAAAAAATATATATTTTATTGATTTTTTTTTTACAGAGAGGAAGAGAGAGGGATAGAGAGTTAGAAACATCGATGAGAGAGAATCATCTATCAGCTGCCTCTTGCACACCCCCTACTGGGGATGTGCCTGCAACCAAGGTACATGCCCTTGACGGGAATCGAACCTGGGACCTTTCAGTCCACAGACCGACACTCTATCCACCGAGCCAAACAGATTTTGGCTAAACAGGGTTGTCTTTATTGAAGAAGGTGAAGAGTGGATGTTGAGGGGCAACTAACAGTCTGTGCCATAAAACCATCCACTAAAAACAAGACTCATTTATATCGGGTAAGAAATATATACTTACACAGTCACCGTACTGGGAGAGGTAGTGTGGAAAGCAGATTTTAATTGCTCTAAGAAAGCAAAGATTAGCTATGAGCACTTCAAGCGTAATCTTTAAGAAAGTGAATTTTGCCGAAACCGGTTTGGCTCAATGGATAGAGCGTCGGCTTGGGGACTGAAGGGTCCCGGGTTCGATTCCGGTCAAGGGTATGTACCTTGGTTGCGGGCATATCCCCAGTAGGGGGTGTGCAAGAGGCAGCTGATCGATGACTCTCTCTCATCGATGTTACTAACTCTCTATCTCTCTCCCTTCCTCTCTGTACAAAATCAATAAAATACTTAGAAAGAAAGAAAGAAAGAAAGAAAGAAAGAAAGAAAGAAAGAGAATTTTTTATTATAAATTTTCTAAAAGTGGGGTACACCGTGGAGGGGAAGACACATACATGCTTTGGTGTAGTTGTCTGTGGGAAGGTACCTTAGACAATGCATTTAGAGAAGAGAGATGTTTTGCCTCTGAATGACTTTGCAGTGTGACCTGCTTTTTCAGATGTACTCTCAAAGGTTCACCTGATCATATACATTCAAGTCTGGAGTAGTAACCCTCTCACAGATAACAGCATCTCTCCTGGAGACCAAGTCACCCAAGACCTCTTGCAGCTGCTGGCTTCCCCCAGGGCACGGACACCAGGAAGCCAAGGTTTTGAAGAGACTCTGGCTCCCATTTTTAGTCCTTCCGTAGTAAATGCAATTCTTTAGACCCTTGTGAGGGTCACAGGTTAGAACGTGACAGACCTGATTTTCAGACTTAAAGATGAACAAACTCACTCAGCAACCCATACATCTTCTTGAACTCTAGATTGAAAGCCTGTTAAAGTGTTCCTTAAAAAATCTATAAAAGGTGGACAAGAACAAAAGGTGGAGTTGGGAGCTGAGGCTGCTGGGGTGGGGACAAATATCGCAGGGTTAGGAAAAACGGAGTAGAGGTGGCCCCTGAAAATATTAATCACGTTCTTTCTCCGCCCCATCCCTTTGCCCCACCACCTGTCTTTTACCCGTAGGCCCGCCCTGCCTGAGAAGAAGGTGGCTGACCTCAGCACTCTGAACGAAGTGGGCTATCAGATTCGGATTTAGGCAAGCCATGCCAGCAGGCCAGAGGCCTTCTCGTGGTGCTTCTCTCTGCACTTTATCCAGCATCTTCAGGAGGAACTGCAACTATTTATTAAGAACCTGTGGGTTTTATTTTTAGGGATTCTTTTGGAAGTAGAATCTGAGTGGGTGGTAACAACGTAAAAAAAAAAATTCACAAAGGGGCCAACCGTGAAAAGGCTGACGTCATAAACCCCACTGGGGCTGGACGGTCCCCCTCACTCCAGACGGAAAGGGTACTACGACCACTGTAGTTCTGTATGTTTCCATTTACCCGCATTTTTTTAACTTGCTTTCACCATTATCCCTCACCGAGTTAAATGTTTCTGAAACACCCCCCTCCCACACTTTTGATAATAGTAAGGTAACTCAATCAGTATTAATGTTTTTTGCAGCAATAACAGAGGCAAAGATTGGTAAGTGTTTTTTTAAGCTGTCAATATTACCTCAGCATTTTGACATCAAGATATGCAAGCTTAATGGTGTTTTGTGTTTTTTTTTTAATATTCTATTTGTATGGGTTCCCCAATAATTCCCAAGGGGACCCGCCACAAAGCTTGGAATTCTTTCCTGGTGCATACATGTGATGAGATTTAAGGTATAATATGCAGGTGTTTTGCTAAAAAAGCACTGAAATTCTTCTGGCAATACGGGAAACCATTTTTTAGGATCTTGGAATCACTTCTTTCTCGAAGCATTCACTGACAGCAGCTTTTGTTCTTTCCAAACAAAACAAAAAACAGCACAGTGAGAGCTAGTCTATGTCCTGTCACTAACATTTAAACTTTGCAGACTCTACAAAAGTAGAAGCAACCACCCGGTACAGGGAAAATTTAGCAGTATGGCAATTACCTCTAATAACAGAACTCAGCAAGGTAAAGAAACCAGAAACAGCAGGTCTTCAGAAACAGATCATCTTTCTGCTCACATTTCATCTGATCCTTAAATTCTGAGTTGGGCCTTGATTCCGAAGGACTCACTGTTGTGAGAGACCTGTTCTGATGTCTTATATTAAGACCAAATGGGGTGCGATGGGATTATTTTCCAGTACTTCGCTGACATTTAGGAACTGGTATTGGAAAAATGCAATGAATTAGAGAAGCATGGAACCTTTTTTTTTTTTTTTTTTAACGGAAATGTCTTCAGGTCTCACGTTACACCTGAAAGCGTAACTTGGTCCATGAAGCACAGTATGACTACCTGGCCTGCACATGGTAGTTACAGTGACTTATGGCTGCAAATCATACAGCATAACTCCAATAGCATCCCAAGTCTATGTGATCAATACCAAGCATACAGCTTCTATTTATTTGTTTTATTTTCATAACCATGCCAACTCATGAAACCAAAAGTGAAGTCCATTAATCAGCAAAAGTGTTAGTTCAGTCTCAGGGCTCCCCTCTGGCTTTCTCTGATGAGATGACTTTAGGAAGAGATTTTTTTTAAAAAAAGGTAAGAATCTGCTCATTCAGATTCTTGGCCTCTGAGAGTGACATGGAGAGCAAAGGGACTTCATTCTCTAGCCATCTGCACATGAACTCATTTTACCCTCAAAGTCAATGTTATTACTGGAAAGTATTGTTTTCTAGAAAAAGAAGGAAGTCTAATGTCTTTACATAAACAGGAGCAAGTATACACCTCAATTAAAATAAAAAATAACATTAAGTTAACAATTCTGAACTTAATCGGTTTAAGAAGAGTATTATCTGTCAGCAGAGTTTAAAATGAGTTATCTTTGTATATTTTCCCAAGGCAAACCCATTTGCAATCCATGGCCAGGTGCATTTAGAGTACTCAGTAAATCATTTTATTCTCATTCCGAAAACGATACTATCAATCTGAAACTTTATTATATATTAAGGCTACTTGTAACATTGCAAACATTCTGACAGCTTGGAATAGGATTTTCCAAGCATTACCTAAGTATTGTCCCAACTAAAATACAAAAACTCCATAGCTGCACAGCCTCGTTTCCTACAAAAAAAGAGGAAAGTAGGGATATAAACTGTTTCTATGGATAATGGATAAACCTTAAAACTGCCAACTGACTTGATGATTCAATTAAGTAACAATTTCTTCCATACTACTTGATTTTAATCATTTCCCCAAAGCAAGAGTTAGTCACAGAAATATGAAAATTCATGGAAGATGTTTTAGTTTTCATTCTATTTTTAATGCCTATGGAATATTAATTTCTAAAAGATGTGAGAAAGAAACCAAACTTACAAAGTCTAATGCTGTAATTTAAGTCAAAACAAACAAAAAAATCATGATGTAATTTCTCCACACCCCCCCCCAAAAAAATTTGATTTTGAAACTGGCTATATAATTCAAAAAGATCAAAAATGAAAGATTATTTGAAATCTAGTTTTGAAAAAGTTATGTTAAGAGAATTGTTATGTGTAAGCCACAGTGGCAATAAATGCAAAGTTTAAATGAATGACAGGAATCTTGATTTTAGACTACATGTTGTGTTGTTTTGAGTACACTTTACTTCAAAAAGTGGTATTTAGTATTTTCTATACACTCTGAAATCATGAGCATTTCACTTTTTCTAAGTCAATTATTTCATAAGGATTTTATTAATAGATATTGGTAAATAGAACTTTGGAAATCTTAATTCAGTATTCTTACTATACCCAAGGCTTTTGTAACCTAGTTTTATGTACAACCTTGTACAGTTTTTTTGACATACAATTCAGAATCTTGTTTATTCTCTTGGACTTTGTTCCGGCCAATACATTTTTTTTAAATCTTTAAGGAAAACTGTGATTGTTTTAGTGGGTATTTTTCTAAGTAAATGACAACTTGTATAATGTATTTTAGAGAATGTCAGATAGTGCATGTTTCAAGTTCATGTTTTTCTCATCACTTACATGTTTATACAGCATGAGACTTTAATAAAACCACTCTGGAAACTTAAGGATTGTTTTTCTTCTAAAAATGTAACATGATGTATTTATTTTTTCTTGTCCACTTACTTGTCCTAGTCAACTAGTTTCTCATTTTGTCTTCTCTCACCTTTCCAAACTCTACATTAAACATCACTCTATTTTGGTGCATCTTAATTCACTTATATTTTAGCATCAGCCTAAGTAATAAAAGCTGGAAAGGGTGATGGAATCATTTAGAAGAGGCAACAAGCCAGCTTACACAGCTTAGTATACCTTACCAAGAAAACCTCAGACACAGCCCTAGCCAGTATGACTCAGTGGTTACAGCACCAGGCCTCGGACTGAAGGGCTATGGGTTCGATTCTGGTCAAGAACTCATACCTTGGTTGCAGGCTTGATCCCCAGCCCTAGTCAAGGAGCCTACAATCAGTGTGTTTCTCTCAATCTCTGTCTCCCCGCACTTCCACTCTCTCTCTAGTATAAATGGAAAAAATATCTTAGGGTAAGGATTAACAAAATAAACAAAAAAAAAAACACCTCAGACACAGATGTGCTAGTATAATACTTTATTAGGTAATTTACAGGTACAAAGTGCAAACAACTTGATGTCTGTTTCCCCAACCCCTTATACTCTCTGGATTCTTACATTTTACTAAAGCAAAGGGTTAAAAAGAGACTGTGGCTAAATTCCAAAAGAAAAAAAAAAGATATAAAGGACAAGCTTTCAAATATGCCTATTATCTTGATATCAAATCATCCACCCAAAATTTATGACTCCACAACATCCCTTTCCATGGAAAAGTTGGGTAGTATAGCACTTGAGGTTGTGGGGAACTTAGTTTCAGCAAACAGCCAGATTTCATTGCTTTTGGCAGGTAAGTAGTACGCTCTGACAGAGTCACCAACTCTTCTGACGAAAACAAAGACAAGTGGATAATTAATTTTAGTGGAACTTTAAAAACTTGTGAAAAAGTTACATTGACCTTTTTGGCCTCCTGTCCTACAAACTAATACTTCATTCTATAAGATAAAGAAGAAAGCAATTTTATGTATTAACTCTAAAAGTGAAGCACATGAAAAGAGCCTAAAATCACAATATATTAATCAGGATATGAAAAACTGCATTTTCCACAGAGGTATTCAGGGATGTTAGTCTGTCATTAAAGACCTATAGATAGTTATTTGTTAATTCACACAACAGAAAGCAGGAATCAATGAATTTTCATTTTTCTTTCCCAAATACTGAAAGGGAATAATTATACTATCTGATACTATTATCTGCTAATTAGGACAGATCAGAATATTCTGAAAACTGTGACTAGAAAATGTGCAAAATCCTAGAACTATAGTTAATACCATAAATAAAAAAGCCCCAAAGTGAAAAATTAAACATTTAAAAGTATTATTACAATTTTTATTAGCCAGATCCTTATAGCCCACATGCCTTTGGGATATTCATCTATTTTTATTTTATTTTATTTTATTTTATTTTATTTTATTTTATTAATGGCAGTAGATAATACAAAAACTTTTAAAGTCCAAGACTATAAAGCTACTGCTTTCTAATTTAAAGTGAAGCATTACATTAAGAAAACTCACTGTAAAAACTTTTATAATTCAGTATAATTCAATATAAAATTATTCAGTGAAAATACACACAATTCTTTGATTACCATGTCTAAAAAAAGAGAACATTTTCTTTTTATGGTTTAAAATTTTTGATTCAAACACAGAGCCAAATGCAGAATTAATGATTAGATCCGCTCTTAACCACTTCATAAAAAAATGTTGGGACTATCTCACACTGCTACATCACATTAAAACACATTACAGAAGCAAAACACAAACAGAATTACTAAAGAATATTAGAACTCCAAGTCGGTATTTACACACTATATTTTTGCTGGCTTCCTCAAATTTCTGAGGCAAAACAAAAATAATCTTATAGCTGCCACTTTGTTCCAAAGACAAGTTTCCTAATAAAATAAATGTCTACAGAATTAGTTCACTAAAATAAAATCTCTCCCTAACCCAGAGATCCTTTCTCAAAACTGAAGAGAGAAAAGAAAAAAATTGCCAGGGAAATGAAGACATAACCCCAATCTGCCTCATATAACGGTCTATTACAGGATGGAAAAGTGGGCTTGTGTGGTCTTCATCCCTCTAGTTATGGGACCTTTTACCCCAACAAAATGTAGATATATTACATGTCCCAGGAGAGTAACAAGGTGGATTAAACAATCTGTACAATTTTAAAAAGCATTATCAAGTCCCCTTAAAAACACACTGAAATGGTTGGATATTTGAAAATGACTCAATGATTTCTGAGATGAACTAATTGGGATTCAACAAACTGATGATTCTCTCAATGAAATAAAGCTTTCCGGAAGGGAAATGAATTGTGGTTTGCAAGAACTCAAAGATACTTGGGATTCACCATAAAACTTGCCAAAAACATAAAATGGAATTTTTTAAGAGGTCTAAAGATGCACTATTCTAAAAAGTCACTGTCTATTTTACTAGAATTCAGAATAAAAATATTTACAATTATTTTACAATAAAAAGAATTTAGGTATCATTTGTCAGGAAAATATTCTTTCATTATGAAAAAAGAAAATTATTGTAAACCTGTGTCTTCGATATCAGTTCCAAGCATTTAACATAGCCTCTTCAGAAACTCCACGGCGCAAAAATAAACAACATGCAAACTCTTAAGAACAACTTTACAGTCTTTGAAAAAGAATATAAATTGGAAAGAAAGGTATATATATATATATTTTTTTTTTTCAAAGAAGAGTCAGAGTTCAAGTCTGAATTTGGCCAATAAAGGCAGATGATCTGAAGAGTTGTTTTCATTTGGAAGTCCATTAACAGTCCACAAGTCTTCTTCTGTAAGAAGTGAAAGTCTAGCTAGAAGTTTCAAGCCTCCAACCAAAGCAACTTCAGTTCCTACATTAAAGAAACACACATATTTAATGAAACTGTGTCAACAGATTGTAAATTAATCATGCAAAGTCTTTTCTTTCTAAACAACAATATAGAACTTGAGACCCCTCTGGAAGTCTAAATATGAAACAGTTTTTAGAATATGATAAAAAATTTTACTAATGTAATTTGTTAAAAGTGGTTTTTGGAATATAATTATTTGTTGAGTGTAACCTAGTTATAGTTCTCAAATACACAGCAGTTTCATATGCTTGTTTTTTTCTATTTAAGATATTCTTTCTATTTCAAGTTCTAAAAATAATCCAGAAAAAAACATCAATGTAATAACAATGTTAAGACTGATTTGGTATTTACAACTACATAAGAAATTTATCTATCAACCATTCTACAGTTGTGTAAAACCAGACAGGCACAGTCAAAGCTAAGAAAAAAATTTTGCAAGGTGACTAGAAAATAAATTTATAAGCATTGCCAATTGGGTCAACAGGAAGAATAAAAGTGGACATGCTCTTAAATGTTAAAATTTGAGGTGTTGGTCCATGACACACTTCTGCCACCTAGTGAACAGTTCTGGCATGATAACTACCAGAACCTATTACAAATCCAAAGGAGCATATTTTGTAGAGCTGATCTAGTGGGGAGCAGTAAGCCATCTCTTGAATATTACTAATATCCTCAAGAGGAAGAAAAAAAAAAAAACAAAAGGGGGAAAGAAAAGTAATACAAAAAAATTGAAAATAGGGAAAATCAGAAAAGACATTTGCCAATATTATGGACTTCCAGTTTTCTAAATGGTGTTTTCTGACTTCCATTTATATGAAATTACATTTTCTTCCTACGTTAAATCCTTAGTTAATAAAGTCTTGTTTTCATTGACTCATACCAGGAAATGTTTCAGCGCCTTTGCTTTTTGAAAATACAGACATCTTTCCAGGAAAAAAAAAAATAGTCTAAGGTCAATATGACAAAACTGTCTATTGTTGAAAATTTAAGCAAAGTCCTCTCCAATGAAGGCAGGATACTGCAACACAATTTAAATACAAACATTATATGTTGCTGGCAAAATAAAACAGTAAATAACAGCCAAGTAAAACCAAAAGGCAATATAAACTAGAACTCAGAAGGTGACTGGGCTGAAGGGTAGAGCTGAAGATATAATTCCTGGATAATTTGCTTTGTGGTGTTCCACACCTCCATCTTTTTCAGATGATTAAATGATTATTCAAATGCATTACCAATCTGTCAAATATGTTACCAATTAAAAAGTATTTTTAACTTGTAAATCTAGAACTTCATCTAGATGTTTCACTAATAACTTTGCCAACTTCAGCCCTGAGGTTTAGTTACTGTGCTCTGGGCAGAACTTAAGATTCCATGCTTTCTTTACCTGGCTCCCCAGCAACATCTTTCTTTTCCCCAGAATAGAAAATATAATCCACAGTTATGGCATTTCGGGAATGACAGGTGGTCACTTCTGGAATCCCAGTGTCAGGAAAATAATGCGAATAAACAGATGATAAGCTGAAATGGTGCTGTAAATGTGAAGATAACCTAAATTAAAAAGAAAAAGTGTTTAGCATCTATCAAGTTTTTCATGATTTATAATTCCTCCTATTAAAGCACTTTTTTATTTAATTTCCAGACAAAGCCAGATATTAGAACAGCTTTACTTAAACAGACAATATCACAATTTGATATTCATGCAGTGATATCAAAACCCATTAAGAAGGCTATGAAGCATGCGGGTGGGAGGGAGCTCAATAGTTAACATATGCATGTGATTTATTAATTCTATTCAGAGCCTCAACTTACTAATAAAATGTAATTTACAGGCATTCCTCATTTTACTGCACTTCACTATTGCACTTTGCAGATGTTGCATTTTTACAAATTAAAATATTTGTGGCAGTCTAATAGAGCCAACATCCTTCACCAGCACAGAATATCTTAATTTTTTAATCACTTTTTAAAAAATCAGTTTTGAGAAACCATCTTATTAACTAAAGTCAGCTAATGTACACTATTGCTTTCCAGAACTCACTTTTCAGCTGTCTCTAGGACTTCTGTTTTATCCAGCTGTGTTTGTGTCGGATCACTGTCTGTAGAACAAAGAAAACTACATATTTAACACTATCAATATATTGTTTTATTCTAGTTTGCCTTAGTACAGTCCTTTTATTCTAGGTACAATACTTAAGACATATCTAATTTAGATAGAATGCCTAGTTAAATGTTTCATCTTAAAAGCTGTATGTTTTGATTTCCAAAAGTAGCAAACATAAAATGCAAACATTTCCAAAGCAACGTGCAAATAATTCATGCAGATTTATTTGTAAAGTTCAACTTTAAAAAAGGAAAGTTTATAGGTCTCTGAATAATAAATTAATAAGCAAACAAGTACATGTTTGTATAGTACATGAATATTTATTCCTGAGACGCTATCCTTTTAAAATTTTAGTTTTATGTTCAAAGGAAAAGTATTATGAAGAAGACTGCCAAAATATATTGCAAACACTTACCTGTCTTTTCTACTTTTGGTACCTGCTGTACCTCATATACACAGTTCTGTGAGATACCTAGGTTTGGGGGCCAAATTGGAATAGATAAAATTCTTTGTCCCCGTGAAGACTGTTCCTGGCCAGATACCTAAACAAAATTTCAACAGGTATCTTAAGTGAGTAGATTTTAAATAGTTTTGTACTGAAAAGTTTGTTAAATGAAAGGGAATCCAAGAATGATATTACTTTTTTTCATTATATTAAGTGATTATTTGTGCTTATAGAATCTTGTTCAAATACAGTTCAGAAAGCACTTATTTACATGGAAATAGTAATCTTTTCTTATACATGTTTTTCTCTAATTTGGCCACCTAAATGACCTATCATTTTAGACTAATACTGCCCCTCCTTTTTGCTACCTGCAATATAGTTCCTATTTTAGAAAATACTGAGAGATAAACTCTTATAAAGTTTCAAACTATCAAGTCAGTGGTGAAAAACTTATTTAGTTAAATATACTGAAGATCCAAGGATCGAAAGCAAGCAGCAGAGAGCACAATGGAAATAATGGGATAACTGATACTCAGCTATGGAATGAAAATATTTATCATATGCAAAGGAAATTATAAAGAAATATTAAAGTACTGTTTTGCTGTCTTTATTGCTCACATCCAGCATTCCAAAGTCTATTCTGCCACCTTGTGAGTAGCTTCTTATTTATGAAGTATTCATGTTTGTCAATGTTTCTTTTTTTCTCTCTCCCATTTTGGATTTTTTTTTAGATATATTTTATTGATATTTTTTTTTTTTTTTTTTTTTACAGAGAGAAAGGGAGAGAGATAGTTAGAAACATCGATGAGAAAGAAACATCGATCAGCTGCCTCCTGCACACACCCTACTGTAGGGGTGTCGAACTCAATCAGAGAAGGGGCCAAAATCTAAAATCCAGCCTAAATCACGGGCCGAATGGTTTACTGAACAGTCATAAACTGTCATTGTGATGGAAACGCAGCAGAGTGCAGTGATGACAGCGCGGTGCGGGCCACATTGCAAGACCTGGCGGGACGGATTTGGCCCGCGGGCCTTGTGTTTGACACATGTGCCCTACTGGGTATATGCCCACAACCAAGGTACATGCCCTTGACTGGAATCGAACCCGGGACCCTTCAGTCCACAGGCCATTCTATCCATTGAGCCAAACCGGGCAGAACCCATTTTGGATTTTTTGCAGCCTGCTAATTCCTCAAAGCAGAATGTTGCCACAAATAGATGGAAAAGATGAAATTCAACCAAGTGGATATAAGCACTCTTAGCAGTTGTGGAAAATCAATATAGGTTGGTAAAGTGAGGGTACTGCATCATTCAAGGTCAAACAGGCTTTGATGACTATCCTCACATTAAAGTGAACAGAGAGCCAAGTCCACCTCCTAGCAGTGATGAAGTAATCACTTACCTTTCCTATGGCAAGTCCTTCATAATTCAGTTTTCCGTCCTTTATGAAACTATAGAGTGGAGAACCAGGAACAGAATTAAAGTCGCCACACATAATAATAGGGTGGAAGCTGCCATTTTTCTGATGGGCAACACTGGAAATCTCTGCCAGAAGCATTGCCAATTGGGTCAGCTTAATATCACCTCGCCTTGGGTTATACAACAGATGTGTGTTAGCTACACAGATTGCAGGAGAGTCGCCACTTGGAATTTTGGGCTGCAAGAGTAACACTAATCCAACATTGTCTCTGTCCAACAGAGGAACATCAGGGCGGTAGAATTCCACTGGGTTCACTGATAAAAGTGAAAATTTGGAATGTTTGAAGCAAATGGCACAGCCATCTGGTTTCCTTCCTGTACGATTCTTGTACTCACAGTGATAACCTATTTAAAAAAAAAAGAAAAGAAAATTTAAAACAAGGGACTTAATATATACTTAATATATACTAGAGGCCCAGTGCACAAAATTCATGCACTTGAGAGGAGGGTCCCACAGCTCAGCCTGTGCCCTCTTGCAGTCTGGGAGCTCTTGGGGAATGTCCAACTGCCAGGGAGCAGGCCTAAGCCATCAGATGGATATCCTTAGCGCTGCCTCAGAGGTGGGAGAGGCCAATGCCACTGTGCTCATCAGACATGAGCCTGGCTTTTGGCTGAGTGGCACTCCCCCTGCGGGAGCACACTGACCACCAGGGGGCAGCTCCTGTGTTGAGCGTCTGCACCCTGATGGTCAGTGGGCATCATAGCTACTGTTCATTCTGTTGATTTGCATATTAGCCTTTTATTATGTAGGAAGAATATATATACACACACACAGAACTAATATTTTTGAACAATGTTTACCAAAGTGTATTTTAAAAAACAGTAATGTAGGAATAAGTGTTGAAGTAAAAAAAGGTAGGGACTAGGTCTAATAGGTCTCTTTATGGGCAGACTTCAATCTTAAATATGTTAATGTGTATCATCAGGTTCTCATTTGCTTCCTAGTCAAAGTCAATCATGACAAAGACAGCAGGGATTTTTAATAACCTACCCACCAAGTACCTCTGATCTTTTTGCCCCAACTCTTCCCTTCCTGCTCCACCACACAAACACTAGTCTGCTTGTCTGCCTTAGGGCACTACAGCCATAGGGCCTTTCCTTTGCTATTTCCTCAGTCTGGAATGGTTTAGGCATGGCTTGTTCATTCACCTCCTTCAAGTCTTTACTCAAATGTTACTTTCTCTGATCATCTGTTTACAATTGAAATCTGATTCATTGCACTTTCCTGCTTTTCTCCAGAAAACTATAGGAACTGTTTACACATTTATTTGATTTATTATCAGCCTTTCTCCACTACAATCTACTGCAACAGAGCAGAGACTTGTTTTCTGTTTTGCTCACTGCTGTATCCCCACTGCCTAGAACAAATTTTGCATGATGTGCAGCAAGTATTCAAAAACTATTTCCTGAATGAATGAATGCAAAATAAGCAGCATTTGTCAAACAGATCATTTAAAAGTGTTCACTCATCAAAGAGGCTTTTAGTTTCTACCCATTAGGCACTGGTAAACACGCGTGTTATAATAATGACCTAGACAAAATGGTCCCTCATCTCATGGAGCTAGGAATTCTGAGTCTAGTAGCGATGGGCAAAGCAAATCCTATAAAAGAAGCTATTAAGAGATTCTTACATATCATTCCCTTTGAATTAAAATTACATATCAGCACAAAAGTTTTCACTTGAAATACGTCAACCTTTTCCTGGCCTTTTGAAATAGGTATTACATTTTTCAAAATTTGAGATTTTTGTCCCAAATATGCCATACTTCTTTGTTAGCAAGTTATGCTTTAACATACCAATCTTCCAAAGTAAATTTGGCTAAAATAAAAGTTACATTGTACCCAACGATTCCAAACTTGGCCTGATCTCTGTTCCATAATGATCTTCTTGAACTTCTTGCAAACAAAGTACCTTGGAAGAAAAAAGAGGCTTTGAATTAAAAAAAAAAAAAAAAGAAAAGAAAAGAGAGAGATAAATGCTCTGGTGCTTGCATCTCTGAACACAGGCTTTAAAATTTTAAAAGCCTGATAAAAGTTGCAAAATATTTTATTTTCTTATAATTTACACGTCAATCAAATTAATGTTATGTTCCCAAATTTGACCAGTGCCCTAACCCCTGGCCTTTAATTACATGAAGCTTTCTTACTAAACAAAACTTACTATATTCTTAATTTACACATCAGAACATTTCCCCCGAATTTACACATGTATTAGTATTAAATCCTTCTTGTTCTTTCTTAAGAGGTGATTTCTTTGAATGTCATTTTTTAGATTAATTTTTGCATCAATTATTTAAATTTAAAGTAAAAGTATAATAAATATTTACTGAATACTTAATATGTTGCTAGACCCTATCTCAGAACTGACCAATACTTAAGATTTTTGGATCATTTTGAAAAGTTAGATGATTATTTATACCAACAACCATCAGCAAATGACTCTTTGGAAGTCAAGATATCTTGTTAAGAACTGTTTCATCACTATATTTAAATGTCTTCCCTTCTTACCAAACAAAAGGGAGAAAACCATTTAGTTTACAAATGAACCATTTATCCCAACTCTTTCTTGTGTGAAGGATTTAGATATTTTGCACTTACATCTGCATCATAGTGTTTAATTTCTTTCAGAATATTGGGAAACCTAAAACTCCAGTGTAATAATGGTCGCCGGCAGTGTCTATAGAGGTGAGAATTATCTTCCAATAAATTTTGTGAAAGTATATTATAGGACATCACTGAAAAGTCAAACTTGTTCTCACTGTCTTCACATATGGGGTCAACATTTTCGTCTCCTAGAATCTTCGTATTTTCTTTATTATGGCTACATATATATTCCCAATGCCGTTTTATGGTGCCTGTTAAAACATTGGAAAAAATATAAAGAATTAATTTTAAAAACAGGCCATAGGTTTTCTTGTATATAAGTATTTTCTTGCCTTTTAAAAATTTTCCATAGGCAATGAACACAATGTTTTCCCATAGAAAATGGCAATATAGCACTGAATAACCAGAAGTTGTCATCAAATTGATTAAAAGGCTGTAAAATGAAATACTGACTGACCAAGAGGTACACAACAGGTTAAAAGGATCTAGCAAGGCATTCTGGAGATGAAGAGTGTGTGTTAATAAAACTCAGACTATCTAAGGGTGTGGTTTCTCACTTCTTTATGGTTAAAAAGTGAATTAGCAACTTTGTAACCATAATAATATATTTGTATGTCACAGCTGGCTTTCCAATAAGATCGTTTCACATATTTTATTCCCTATTAGTAAGATAAGATCATCCAGTGATTCCATAAAGAACACATCTCAGAATTCTGCTTTAGAACATATGAATGATGTATAATGACAATATACAGAAGCAGTATTTAGTGTCTAAAACTGAAGTGGAACGATGCAAACAAAATGAACAAAAAAACTTTTTAATGCATACCAAAGCAAAAGTTACATGTAACATAGTTACAGAATGCTGGTAAATGACAATGGCTGGTTGACGAACCTAGCATGCAGCAACCAGGAATGTGTGATGATTTATATTCTGCAAAGACATCATGTACCCTGAAAAAGTGATGAAAAGAGAATCAAAAAGCATGAGATTTTGCAATTACAGGCAGTCCTTGATTTAGAAATGACCACCATATATATTTTTTCTCCTTGGATCTTGTCTCCCTCATCCCACCACTAAAGGGCATACTTTAACTGCCTGGAAGCCATGAAGAAAAATGTGGAACTTTTAGAGAATATATGAACTCAAATGAAGGAGAAAACAAGAAATGGGAAGAACCTGGGAGAAATAAACTAGGAGATGGACTTCCAAGCATGACTCAATAATATAAGAAATCTCAGCCCTAGAATCTCTTCTTTTCTTGCACAAAGGGTTTTATTTAACTGGATTATACAATACCTATCATTGCACCAATACAGTGGCTTTCAACCTCTAGAGCTTGCATGACCCTTCAGCGTTACTTTTCAGGTCATGAACACCAATCCCTGGTAATCTGGGACTGGGAGTGGAGTGATGGGGTAAATACATTTATTCTGACCACAGTGCTTTGAATAAACATACAGAAATGTGTTTGAATGCTAGAGTTCCATGGAAGCCAATTTGAAAACCACTGATGGAGTAAATAGTCTTTGGTCTTCATATACTTCACAACATAAATTCATACCACAAAAGCTTATATACCTTCCATGTCAGGAGGAACAAGGTGATCACAGCAGAGAAGACAGATGAATCAAAGAAAGTAAGCACTAGGCCTGATCAGGTTTTTAGGGTGCCTAATTAAAAAGTCTTAATTGTGTCACACAAATCCTTCAAATACCACTTTAAAGTGATAGGCAAGTTAGCAATGCTGTTCTCTTGATTGGAAAGTATTAGTGAAATATCAGAAGTCACAAATATGGCTTAACGAAGAGCATATTCCTTATTCACAATACCTAGGAAGAATGGACATATAGAGAGTCAGGTTGCAATCCAAGTTGATCAATGTGTAAATGTAATTCCCCATCCATTAAAGGGAAAATACCACCACCACAATTTTCTGAGTACCTACTATGAAGCCAACAGTATGCTGGGCACTTTGACATCTCATTTCATTGTCAACAGGCTTTGAAAGTAAGCATTACTTTGCACTAGGAAACCAAGGAGCAGAGTGTTTCAATAATTCATCCAAGTTCACACAATCGGTGGAGCAGAATGACAGCAGGGAGTGGTTCCTAAGCCCATGCTTATGTCACTTTGGCACACGGCACAGCTCCACCTGACAGCTACCAGATTTACAAGAGAAGTGTGCTGCCTCAATGGGCGATGAATACATCAATGAAAAGCAATCTCATATCATATAGCCCTGGGTTTAGAGATTATGGATTGTTCTTAGGAAACTAATTTTAATGCCTCTAAACCTTTCATTGATTCCAACGGTGGCTAATAGATTTTCACTTCTGAGTGAAAACAGATTTTCACTTCTGAGTGCTTAGAATTTCTACTTAAATGTGTAGTAGAATTGCTTCTTAAAAGAACACTAACTAATCTTCTAGCTCTGTTTTTAGGTTAATGTCTTCCTTTGACAAAATTATGTCTGCTCTCTACACATTAACACCTACACAGCCTGCTTTCAATTATCTTCAGAGGCATTATCTTCACAGAAAACCATAGCTCAGTCAGGAAGACAATTCCAAGTTCTACTTATATACCTGGGGGGCAAGGTTAGGACTGGCAGCACAGAGGGAGTCTTGTTAATTGTTTAGAGTAAAAAGAATATGAGAAAAACAGGAATAACCAACTGTTTCTTAAAGTTGAATAAAGTATTTTAAAAGATAAAACTTTTCATAGCCTCTCAAGATTAGATCAATAGACCTTAGGATGAGAAATACAGATTTTTGTAAGCTAAAATCCTATTCTGTGAGAAAATATCTTTCATTTGACTATTTCTATTTAAGAAAATCCTTTTGTCTTATAATATTTTTAAAAGTTAGCTTAAAAATGAAATTTAGTTTTATAGATCTGTGGACTTCCAATAATATTTCCACCAATTTCTAAGAAATCTAAGAACCTTTATTTCAAAAACACTGGATTTAAAAATTATTCTTAAATTAAACTTAATGTTTTAATCTAGTCCTCCATTCTTTTCCACCTTATCCTATTTGTAGAGTCACTTTTGTTTTTATTGCCAGAAATACACAACTAATTGAAGATAAAAATAACAACTGCATTAAAAAAAAAAAAAAATGTCCCTTTTCCTTACAGAAAACTACTGGCCGAAAATACAATAAAAACCAAACACCTCTAAAACCTACAGGAGGTTTTCTTGAAGATGAGGCATGAAAGTTGCAATCGGTCTATGGTTTATGTCTATTCCTGCACCAAGATACATGTCACCTTTACCTTGGTGTTTTCTTCGTTTTGATGAAGGCTCATCTCCCTCAGAGTTCATGATGGAACTAGAGAGATGAATCAAAGATGTCTGGCTCAGGTTGTCAGGTCTCCAATTCCAGTACTGAAACTGAGTTCTAGACTCAAACAAACAAGGTGGTCTCCAATTTAACGAGAAATGCCTACTACTGAAGTAGGGGTAAGGAGCACGAGAATAATGTCCAGGCCACCTCATACAACTAGAAATATGTCTGTTCCAGCAACACCTTTGCAGATTCTCCCACGGTGTAGTCCAGTCTCTGCCCAGACTCCTCTGGTGATGGGGTAACATGGGGTATCTAAAAGAAATAAATACACTCCTTGAGGCACCACTTTAGGTTCTGCTACAGTACACAAATCCAAATTAGTTTCCTCGAGGGAAGACAAGGTCTCATATTTAAAATGTGACCTCTAAATCTGTGAAGGAAGTGGGAAAAGCAGCCATGATTTAACTATTAGAGCAGTATCTTAATACTCTCCTAAACAACTTAATACTCTCCTAAACAACTTAGGGCTGGTATTCTAAACACTTAATGTAGAAGCCACCAGTTTCCAAAACAATACATACACTTCAAAAAGTCCACAGGTCAACTGAGAGCTACATCAACCATCAAACTGGTATTCAGCTTAGCTTTCTAGCATCTAATAAAACTCAATGGACAAATAAAATCCACAGCAAGCATAGTACTCAAATCAAGTAAGTATTAAATAACACATAAGCTGGCTACAATTAAAGTGAATCTTTCTTCCAACCTGGTTTGGAGTAAAAACCAAACATGTTTCTGAACAGTTTTTTTTATACCAAAGTTATATCTTCCATTTATATAGCTAAAACAAAAACCTATCATAACTTCACAAAAAGATCTCTCTGGCTAATCAGTAGGTGGATAATCAATTTCTCTCTCTCTCTCATGCTTTTCCTTGAGGGAAATGGAAAGAGTATAGAGATTACTTACTAGAATTCACCAATTTAACCCATCATCCAAAATATCCCCAAAATAGCATTACCATTATATTGGGTAGATATGTTGCTCTCAGACTTTATTGGGCACCATCTTCTTAATATACTATTCTGACAAAATATTAGGATTGAGGACTTCTATCGTCCCCTTCAGAACTCATTAAATGTACATTTCCAAGGTAATGTCAACAATGTCCACTTCTATTACTAAAGGAATTTCGCTTAAAGTATATCTTCTATTTCTTGACTTTTATAGGTTATGTTCTTTTCATTTTAACATTTAATTTTTATTATATATTTATGGTGTTTATGCATTTTCAAACTGTTCTCTAAATTCAACTTAATTTAAGTCTTTAGAGGCATGAAATGGGCAGACTAATATGTTTTGTGACATTACTTGCTCAATACATTTTCCATCCTAATAAGCTACCACAGTGAAGTATACTACTTGTAACTACAAAACATTCTCTATATTTGCAGTTACTTTCAGGGTAGGGCAAAAAGTAGGTTTACAATTGTACCTATGGAAAATAAATACAACAATAAATAATATAAGAATAAATTGTGTTTCGGTACTCACAACAGTAAATCTACTTTTGTGCCCACCCTGATATAGATGTCTTTTTCCTCTTTAAACGATGAGCTCCTTCAAAGCCAGAACTTCGTGAATCACTATCATTTTAATCCCAGGCTCTTCCCAAGTGCCTAGCATATTGCCTGGCACACAGCTGGTACTCAAGAAAACATGGTGGAACTGAACAGTCATCAAGTCCCAGGACTACAGGAATTAAAACCCAATCTCCATTACTGATGCAATCACGAATATCGTGCTGTGCTTCCCACGTGTGGAAACGAGCCAGACCCATAGGGCACACCTTTAATATCGAATTATTTAAGGTGCATTAAGAAAAAAGACCCAATCAGTACATCCAAGCCAAGATTTCGCAGATTTAACTGCTCAGGGCTTTGCTCCTGCGGGCAGTGCTTTTTCAAGTGAGTCAATTTCAAGAAAAAAAAAAAAATCCGGTAAATAACACAGGTGTGAACGAGAATTCGGTAACCATGCTCAAGGCTGGTATACAAGGGACTCCAAGTTTGGGACACGCGAACACCAACAAACCCAGAGCGCGGGCCTCCCTCGGGGTCAGGGTGCGGGACCTATGGGGACAGGCGGCCTCCCGGACCGTCCGCTTCCGGGCGGGGCAGCGGGGCCTGCGGGGCGCGGAGAGGCTCGGGCCGCCCAGGAGGCTGGGCTGCGGGGGAAGCGGGCCGAGCTCCAAGCCGAGCCTGGTCGGAAGGGCACCAGCCCCGCCGGCGGCCCAAGTGCCCGGCGACCAGGCCCGCGTCCTCTCGGGGCCCCGTGACCCAGCGCCCGCCGGCAGCGGGCGGGTTTACCTATCCCTGGGGCTCCCGGGGGGTCTCCGGAGGCTCCTCCCGGCAGCACCACCACCACCACCCGACCCTCTTCCTCCTCCTCCTCCTCCTCCTTCCCCTCCCACCCCGCCCGGCCCACCCGGGCCGCCCGCCCGCGCCCGCCCTCGCCCCCGCCCCCAGCCGCCCCTCCCTTCTCCCTCCGACACCCAGACCTACTGACCGGCCTCTGCCAACCACACAGCGGCCGTAGCCCCTCCTCATACAGCGCCATGCTTCCATCTCGCCCCGGGATGGCCGTCGGGGCCTTAGGCTCCCGGCTCCACCGCAGCCTCTACGGGAGGTTTGGCGGCCGAAAGCCCCAGGGACTCCCCATCGCCAGACACCGGCTGGCGGCCGGGCTGCAAAGCACGCTGGGAGGTTCATCCTCGCTAGTCCCCATGTTGCGCCGCGGAAGTCCCGGAATTGTGCTCCGGAAGCTCCGCGGGGCGAGTGAAGCTCGGGCAGCCATTTCTGAAGAGGGCAAAACCACCCGTCCTCCGCCTTAAAGAGACAGGAATAGAGAAACTGGCCACCAGCTTTAAGGCCTGTGGGAGGGGATACAGGGTGTTTCTTTTCTTGTATTTTTATAATGTCCTCGGGAGAGTTTGGAAGGTGGACGCCCAAGGTAGGGAAATAATACCCTTTTTCTGGGTTCCATTAGAACTCGGGCACCACGGATTTGGGCAATGAATTCTGCAGGAACACATCAGCAGAATTCGCTTTGGAAATGTACCTGTGTGTCGTGTCTGTTCATCTTTATCAAGTTTGGCATATGACTCGATATGATTCTTAGAAAACAATATTTAGGGTGAAGAGCCCCCTCCAAGTGAAAGACAGAACTGCTCAAGAACAGAGCACCGTTTAACATGTTCTTTGGAGAGAGTTTCCCCCTCTTGGGTTAATAAGGAAATCAGATGGATTTGAAGAACTCCCTTTTCCTTCAGCATCACTATAGGTGATTCCCGTTATTTGTGCTAGTTACGGTCTACAAAGCTCCTGCCAACGCTGAATTAGCGAATACTGAACCATTGCTCCTAGGGGAAAACAGGGCTATTCCCCGTGAGCCACTCAGTGGACACAACATGTTAGTCACCTAATCAATACATAACCTTGTTTTATGGGTTTCGGCTTGAAGACACTTTATCTGATATATGTTTCCTATTCATTGACATCGAGTTCATGGCCATTAGCACTGTAACTCATGCCTGAGGGAAGCTTATCTACACATGGGTTTTCTCCATAAGGCACCTCACAGAAGTTCTTGCACTTAGGAGCATTGGCTAGTACTTCAGCACTGCCCTTGGGGACCATTTTAAACAGAAAAATCACCAACAACAAAGCACAAAACGTGAAAAATGTGGCACATGTAAATAGACTACTGTGAAGAGGATACTTGTTTATAGTGTGAGAGCTGAAATGAGAAGGCAGAGCTTTGCTTCCTTTGACCTAAGTAGGGAACGTGCACTTTGGGCAACTAAATTTTTGACCACCCTACCCAGATCCATAAACGGAGATAATAGTAATTATGAAAGTGAGGATTTAATAAAAGGTAGCCTTGAAGCCCTGACTGGTTTGGCTCAGTGCGAGAGCGTTAGCCTACAGACTGAAGGGTCCCCAGGTTTGATTCTGGTTGCGGGCATATCCCCAGTTTGGGGGGTGGGGAGTTTGGGGGTGTGCAGGAGGCAGCTGATCTATGTTTCTCTTTCACCGATGTTTCTAACTCTCTATTCCTCTCCCTTCCTCTCTGTAAAAAAATCAATAAAAAGTATATATTTTAAAAGGTAGCTGTGAAGATTCTGGTATAAGACACAGGCAGAAATGTTTTATTTTCATCGACTTTGTGTGCAAAACAAATGAATACATAAAGTTGGTTAAATAAGCCATCAGATATTGAATAGATAATACAACAGAATTGTATGCAGATCCTTTTGGAAACTCAGAGGAAACTGAAAACAAGATAAAAATGTTATAAAATAAAAAAGTAATATAGTGTAGATTCAATATATAAGGCATCTATTTAATACTTCAGGTATTTTAGACAAGAATGAGTATAATAACTTATTTGGAATTATATAATTCTTCTGTTCTTCAAGAAACCTGTACCATTGCTAATGTAAACCTTCACGTTAATGAAGTCATATAATCATATATACATGTGCCTAACATTTATACATAAATATAGAGTAAAAAATTATTTTTGCCCTTTTGCTCTTAAAGAGTAGAATTTAGCAACATGTGGACTGCAAGGAAAAGCTAAAAAATAAAGATCAAAATTCAAGTTTGAAATGTCTTTCAACACCTACACATGTTCTTATACTTCACACTCAACCTCCAAATTCTGGAAAATGTTTCTATATAACCTACTAACTCTCAGTAAAAATATCCCAGGTTGTCATGGAGATGTTGTTCTCTCCCCTGCAGAACCTTGTAGTCTGGTGCAGTGATTTCCTAATTCCTTATGGTTGTGAAATCTTTCTTTCTCTGTGTTTCAACTTTCCAGCCTAATGCTACACTTGAGCCCGCTACAGTAGTGGCAAATTAAAGATTTAATTTCGAATAAGGTAAATTTAATTAATAGTAAATCAGTCTGGAAAGCTGATGAAATCCTTTGTGGGTATATGTCCCTCAATGGTCCTTGATGAAAACATTACAGCACTCAGTCCTTGCTGGAATTTCTCGTTTATGTCTTAACCTGTAGGGGCTGATTAAGTTTTTAAAATCTTGTCCAGGTTTTTAGAACAATGATGGGAAATTGGTAGTCAGGATATGAACTTCAGGTTAACCCTTCTCTTTGCTTCACTATCAAACCCTTTTTTTATTCCCATCTCTCAGGTTTGAGTTCCTATAGCGCAGAGACTTGTGGATGTCTTGGATTTGAGCTCAATTCTGACAAATGATCCTGCTGCCTACCTTGGTCTGCTTCAGGGCTCCTAGAATTATCTCTCTGGGAAGGTATTCAAGAGCAAGGGCAGATCTTGGCAAGGATTCCTCGGACACGGAGGAGAATGAAGAGGCTAAGAAATGGAACAGCAGAGGAGAAAGCTGCATGGAAGCAACAGCAAAACACTCTTTGTGGTGTCTAATACCCACTTGAGGAGAGAAACCATATTTTTTGTGTGTCTACCTAATGAATAAATAAATGGCTATTTAGTGGTACCATTACCAAGTATTTTGACTTTGGCCATGCCAAAAGCATGTTCTTCGCCAAAGCCGGTTTGGCTCAGTAGTAGAGCGTCAGTCTGCGGACTGAAAGGTCCCAGGTTCGATTCCAGTCAAGGGCATGTACATTGGCTGTGGGCACATCCCCGGTAGGGGGTGTGCAAGAGGCAGCTGGTCGATGTTTCTCTCTCATCGACGTTTCTAGCTCTCTATATCTCTCCCTTCCTTTCTGTAAAAAATCAATAAAATATATATATATTTTTTAAAAAAAGCATGTTCTTCATGAAGGCTAATATCAAAGTGTAAGGTATGTATTACTTTATTCTCTTTCATGAATCTTTAGTTCATAAATAGTTATTTAAACCTGGAAAGTCCTGCATCTTAGAGGTGTGTGTGTGTATATATATATATATATATATATATGATATTTAAGGGAGTCTTTGAGTTATTACAATATTTTGAAAAATCTAATCGAAGTTGAGGGAAAATCTGCAACAAGGAAGCAAAGGTTTCCCAAAACCTTGAGTTTCCTTGCTTTTGGCTGTTAATACATGAGTTTAATATGGGCAAATATGTTATTTCATTTTGATCAGAAGCTCAAGTCAGTAGTTATATATCAATGACTTTGGTGAAGAAGGTAAGATGAATAATTATAATTTAATATATTTAATTTTATTGGGAAGACAAAAACATCTTCAGAACCTTGGAGTTCAGGCATTCCACAAATACCTCATCTTTTACTCACTGTAGCACATGCAGAGGGTAGGAATACAAAGCAAGACCAGCCCCTGCCTTTGAGGCACTCGCAGTGTAAATGTGTAAATGGGATAAAAACATGTCAGCCCTAAGTTAGCCAACATAAGAATCACAACCCTGTAATAGATGCTGTGGCTGAGAGGGGGAATAGAGATGTGGAGGCATAGAGGAAGGAACATCTAATCCTCCTTGGGGGGAAAAAAAGATGGCTGTGAAAGAAGGCTTTGGAGAGAAATTAGTTGTTGAGAGAGCTGATTCCTGAACATTCATGTTTTCAAAAGAAACAGAAGATCTGAGGTGCAAATTACAAAAGGGTTTAGCTGAAACCCGGAGCAATGAGTCTGACAGTTGACAGGACCAGACATGATGAATCCTAAAAACCATGGCAGAGAAATCATGGCAACAGGATCCACTGAAGACTTTTACAGAGGAGTAACCTAAAGATATATGCTTTAAAAATGGATAATTTTAATGAGAATATGAAGGATGAATTGGATGCGGCTAGGAAGACCAGGCTCATTATTTTCTTAATTAAAAAAACTTGTTAATTGGGTACAGCATACACACAGTAAAGTGCATAAATATTAAATGTGTAGCTTGATGTTTTCATATATATGCATATATGAAATTTATGTAACCACTAACCAAATTAGGATCTTTTTCAGCATCCCAGAAGAGTCTCTCCCCTGTGCTTCCCAGGCAATATCCATTGTACCTTCCACTCCCTCACCCCACATTCTATGGAGAGCCTCTATTCTGGCTTCTATCATTGTGGATTCATTTTTCTTCAACTTTATATAAATGGAATCATGGGCTATGTAATCTTATGCCTAACTTCTTATGCTCAACATTGTGTGTGTAATTTGTCCTTGTTGATGAATGTAGCAGTTCATCCTTTTTAATTGCCATGTATATCCCATAATATGATTTTATATCACATTTAACTTATCCATTTTACTGCTGATTGACACTTGGGTTGTGTCAAATTTTTTGACCTTATGAGCAATAGTGCTTAGAACATTTTAATATATCTTTTGTTAATGGATATACCCACTCACTCTTCTTGGATATATATATGTCCAGGAGTGAAATTGCTGTTATAATCAGTATTTTTACCTTTAGTCATTCTGATACCAGACTGTTAGGTGGGCATCAGGCTATTATGAATAAAGCTGCAAAAAATATTCCTATATAGGTCTTTCTATGGACATATATGTTCATTCCTCTTGAGTTCAAGTACCTAGGAATGAGATTGCTGTGACATCTGGTAAGCCTATGTTTATAAGAAACTGCTAAACTGTTTCCCAATGTGGCTGTATCATTTTGAATTCCCACTGGCAACTTATGAGAGTTCCAGGTGCTCCTGTCCTTGTCAATATTGGGTAGTTGTTTTTTTTTTTTTTTTTAAACTTTAGCCATTGTTATAGTTCTAAGGTGACATCTCATTGTTTTTAAAAAAATTGAAATAAAATTTATATAACAAAATTCATCAGTTTAACCATTTTAAAGTGTACAATTCAGTGATTTTTAGTATATGCCCAAGAATGTGCAATCATTACCATTAATTACTGATCCAATAGTTTTGTTATAGGCCTATTCAGATGTTCTTTTTTCTTGAGCAAGTTTTGTTTTGTTCAGTTTAGACATGTTTTCCTTTAGCTCTTTGAAAATATTTAAAATAGCTTCTTTAAAATCTTTGTCTAGCTGAAAGCGGTTTGGCTCAGTGTATAGAGCATTGGACTGCAGACTGAAAGGTCCCAGGTTCGATTCCGGTCAAGGGCATGTACCTTGGTTGCGGGCACATCCCCAGTAGGGGGTGTGCAAGAGTCAGCTGATCGATGATTCTCTCTCAACGATGTTTCTCTCTATCCCTCTCTCTTCCTCTCTATAAAAAATCAATAAAATATATTTAAAAAAATAAAAAATAAAATCTTTGTCTATTAAAGTCCAACATTTGGGCTTCCTCGTGGACATTGTTTTTATAGATTGCTGTTTTTCTAATTATGAGCCATATGTTCTTATTTTTAGGATGCTTCATAATTTTTTGTTGAAAACTGAACATTCTGAATATAATGTTATTGTACAATTCTGGAAATTAAATTATTTTCCCTCCCCAGAGTTCACTGTTACTAGGTGGCTATTCCCTACCTCTCTTTTCAAGATTCAGCTATAGTTTCAGCTATGTCAGAAAACCTTAACTAATCTTTTATTCTGAATTAGATGTGCTCTATAGCTCTCTCTCTGATATCTATATATCTGTATATCTATATATCTGTCCTGATACTTAGCATGATACATTTTAATTATTCTGTTTTTCCCCCCCTACTGGATGCCATTAGATAGCAAGAACCATCTTATTTTTTAAAAAAATATATTTTTATTGATTTAAGAGAGGAAGGGAGAAGGAAAGAGACATAGAAACATCAATGATGAGAGAGAATCATTGATCAGCTGCCTCCTGAATACCCCGCACTGGGGATCCAGCCCTTGACTGGAATTGAACCTGGGACCTTTCAGTCTGCAGGCTGACGCTCTGTCCACTGAGCCAAACCAGCAGGGACCATCTTTTTTTTTTTTTTTTTTTTTTTTTAATTCCAATGCCTTATTAACATGTCTGGTATATAAGGTAGTGAATTCAAGTTTAATAAATGAATGATAGATTTATGCATATGTAGGCAGAGGAGCTAGTGATGAGGGAAGAGATTAAAGGTACAGAAAGCAGAGTTGGGTTGCCATTGACGAAACAATGTCTGCCGAAGAGGATAGGTTTCAGTGCACAGGAGGAGTGGTTAGTTTTAAAAATGAGAAAGAGATATGTCTACATCTCAGCTATGTCTATATTTCAGGTCAGAATAGAAATGTGAGAACACAAAGGGATTGTTACTAAGGGTTCATCCTTTTCTCCTTCTGTAAAGAAGTGGGGGTAGAGGGCAAAGGGTAGGGAGTCCAAGACGAAGAGGAATAGAGGATTGAAGAAAATGACAAAGACTTGGAATGACTGTTGTGGAGAATGGCCATTTCCTGATCAAGGAGAGGTAAAGGAGTTGCCAAGTAGTGGGTAGAATCAATTGAAACCGGAAACTCTATCTTTCTAGTTTTGAGAGCTCTTCTGATTCTCCTCCCCCACAACCCTCCTAGCCAGACACAGGTTTCCACTTTTAGAATCTGAGGGGATGAATTTCAAAATTGACATAGGGTTGGGGCTTGCTGTGTAGGCAGAAAGACAGGTGGACAGGATGCCTGCTAGAAAGAAGAGTCATGTCTGCGAAAGTTCAAATGCTACTGTAGGTATTTAAAATGACAGACCCAGCCCTAACGGGTTTGGATAGAGCGTCAGCCTGCAGACTGAAAGGTCCCAGGTTTGATTCCGGTCAAGGGCATGTACCTTGGTTGCGGGCACATCCCCAAATGGGGGGTTTGCAGGAGGCAGCTGGCCCATGTTTCTAACTCTCTGACCCTCTCCCTTCCTCTCTGTGAAAAAAAAATCAATAAAATATATAAAATATAAATAAAATGATAGATCGTGAGTGGATAAGGAAAGAAGTTGCTCGGCTAGGGCATCCTCTCCTGCCCCCCTTAGTAATTGTGTACAAAGCTGGGCAGGGGGGTGTGGGGGTCCCAGCTGTCACCGGATGTCGCGGCTGTCACAGCAGCTGTCACAAAATCTAGAAGGTGCACGAGCAGACTCGGTAGAGAGACGTCTCAGTTCTCCGCAGGGACGGTCCTCGCCTCCTTGCCAAACCCAGGCCCGGTGGTGTGGTTCCAAACCTAAAAGAAAGTCTCCCTCCGGTCGCTCCCAGCAGCCTGACCCGGAAGCTCCTCCGCCGACCCGGAAGCAGAGCCGTGCGCCGCCCGAGGCGCCGCGGCGGAGCCACCGCCCCCCACCGCGGAGCCGCTGCCTCGCCCGCTGGGACCCGGGAGCGCGGCGCCGGGCGCCCTGATGCTCCTCGGCCGGCGGCGGCGGCGGCTGCGGCGGAGGGAGGATGACCTCTCCTCGGGAGCGGGGTGCCGATCTGGCCCGTTTCTACACTGTCACCGAGCCCCAGCGACACCCGCGGGGCTACACGGTGTATAAGGTCACCGCCCGGGTGAGTGCCGCCGGTGACAGGCGGGGCGGTATCCCTGACCTGGGAGATGAGGATCTGGGGTGGGGACCCGGGCGTGGCGGCACCTGCTCCCGGCTCGGAGCCGAAGGTGGGACTGGGGGCGCCTGGTGCCGAGGTGGGGACGGGGGGAAGGCGGGGGGAAGGCGAGGGGAGCGCCGAGTGGGCGATGCTCGGGGACTCCGCTGGGGAAGGTGGCGGAGTTGTCCCCCCACCCCGTCCCCGGGTACGGGCACAGGTTGGTGGTTTTCCGTGGATGACTCAGCCCCCATCCCATTGGAACTTTCTCTTCTGAGGCTGAAACGTGCAGAAGCGGTTTTGCTTGCTTCTGAGGGATGCGCAGGTGAAAGATGTAATTGATTGTATGGTTTTTATTTATGTCCTAGGCCTTTCTCCTCTCGGGCATTTGTACAGCGTCACGGTTTGGACTGAGGCTCATGGACTCTCTCGAGGATGTCAGTGTTAGGGTCACAGCCTAGGACCTTTTCCGCCTGTCTTTTTACCTTTTGAGTTTTTCATGGTTTACAGTAGGAGCCGTAGGAGAAAGTCCACGGAGTTTTCATGGTGTACAGTAGGAGGCATAGGAGAAATTCCATGAGCTGTCTTGAGAGCACATGTAAAAGGCTGCGAATCTCCTTTATGTTAAACGGGTTCAATTTTTAGTACCCACTTTGGTGCTAAAAATCGCTCTTGCTCCTACTTTTAAAGACAGCCTGTAGCTCTCTTCTTGGGAAATAAAGAATAGTAACATTAAGTAAGTCTACATGTATGAACGTATGTGTGTGTATGAATATGCATATGTATTTGGCATTTTGTACACATCACCCGAGTTACTACTAATTTTAATGATGAGGAAACTGAGGTTGCCTGATGTTTTGTAACTTGCCCAGCTTTGCAAGTCAGTAGCACTTCTGGGATTTGAGGCCACTTCTGCCTAACTCTAAATTATATAAAAAGCTCAGAATGAACTTTATCTTTGCCATTGATTGTTTAAAAAAGGAGAGGTACAGATAGTAGTAATACCACAGTATACCTTTGGAGGATGTAGTAATCATGTGTGATAGCTCAGGAAGTAGGTCTTTGAGAGCAACTTGGCATGTGTTTTATAGAAATGGTGCACAATTGAGACAAATGTCAGAAGGTGGGATAAGCAAGTTTGCTGACAGATAAAACCAGGCCTGGCTGTACTGAGAATAGAGGGAAATTTGCTACTCCCTGTTTGCACACAAAGTTGTTATATAGGTGTAGTGTAAAAGTTTGTTTTTTCGTTGGTTTTTTTTTTTTTTTTTTTTTTAAAGATTTAGGGCCCTTATTTATATCACTTTTGAAACCATTGTAGGCATTGGAACCTTCAAACATTTAGACTTAGTTTCCTAATATAATTTATGGAATTAGAACAGTTTTCAACATATGTAATGTTTCCCTCATAGCACCTCGTTCATCCCTTGTTGCAGTGTTTTTCAACCTTTTTTGGGCAAAGGCACACTTGTTTCATGAAAAAAATCACGAGGCACACCACCATTAGAAAATGTTAAAAAATTTAACTCTGTGCCTATATTGACTATATATAAAGTAATTCTCTTGAATAGGAATCAAATAAACACAAAGAAAGTATTTTATAATTACTTTATTATGAAATATTAAGTAAACAAAATAGTGAAAAATTATAAAATTCTTGTCTTGTCTGCACACCAGGCAACATCGTGCCGCGGAACAGCGGTTGAAAAACGCTGCCTTATTGTAACCCCCCAGTTATATTGTATGAATCTGTTATGTGTCTGTGTCTCTAGTATATTTAGGATAGGTCTTTATCATTGGTATTTGTTTCCTTTTATAACAGCTAAGGTAGTGCATGGCACACAGTGTCTAAAAAACATTGTTGAATGTTTTTCCTCTCCATTCTAGGCAACACGCTCAGCAAGAGTTTAGTTCCAGGCACTAACTAAATGCTGTGAGGGATAGAGGCTGAATAAAGCATGGACCTTCTTTTCAAGGATATTCATAGAAGAGAGTTTATAGATTTTTTGAAGAAGCCCAGTACAAGATAGAAAGTGTTAAATGCCACCAGAGAATAGAAAAGAGCTGTGGGATTTCAGAAGACAGAGATTGCTTCTGGCTCAAGGGACCTGGGAATGTGTACCAATTAAGATAGGTGGTGAAAGATGAGAAGAACGCAGATAGGTGGGGGGAAAAAGGGAGGGCGTCTTAGATGGAAGGGTAGCTAGAAGGGAGAGAGCCATAAACTTTATGGCATAAAGGCTTGAAGGTATAAATGTGTTTGGAACTTGAGTAGCAAACACTGTGTATGGTAATTGCTTGTATTCTTTACAAAAGGAGAGGTTAACCCAATTCAGCTCTTAAGTATCTTTTCTTAAGCTGTGAACTGTTTACTGGACTAACTTTTATGACAACATAAATTAGAACACAAAGCAGCGCATTGCCTCAGGACTAACCACATCTATGCATTGCTGTGGTTATTTGAACTAGAAAATTGCTTACACTGCCTTTCTTGTAAATGTTTATGTCCTCATTTATTGCTTTTGTGACAGATTGTAATGCTAATGAGGGTCAACATGGAGATACTTAAAAAGTAACTACTTAATATTATAAAACAAGTAAAATATTTGTTATTTTTTTTTTTTTTTGAGATTTAAGGAGGAAAACATCTTTCCTCAGGAGAATTAACCAGGTAAGTAATATTCTCCTGAGAGAACTTTATGAGATAAAAATTAGGAATGTTTTCTCTATGTTTCCTGCTACTGATTTACTTTCAGCTTTAAAGAATAATTTTTATATTTTTGATCCTTGATTCTAATTAGACTCCTTCATAAAGAATCTTTGTTGTTATCCTTCATAAAGAACGAGTAAAATTAGAATCACTAGTAGTATCTAAATTTACTAAATTTTGGTTAACATAAAAGCTCTTGCATCTTCTTAAATCTCCTTTATACTTTAAAAAAAAAAGTTTTCTGGAACCCTGTGGCCAGTTGTAAGCTTGTTAACATATTTCCTAGTTAAACTCTGTTGCTTGTTAATTTTTATCAAGAATAGGTACCTCTATTCAGAATTGGAAAATTCTTTTGTAGGTTTCTTTGATTCTTTAGTTGAAGGAGACAGGCAGTTTGGGTTGTTTCATCATGCTAAGTTTATAAAATTCTCATACTGTAATACAGATTTCTCTTCAACATAAGTGAATGGTAGTTCTTGCTTATATTCTTTCCATGAGTATAGAAAGCAGAAGGTATGCCTTTATGTAAAAAAAGACAGTGTTGCTTTATGACTTTATTTTGTTTATATGGAGGCATACTTTATATACAATAAAATTCACCAATTTTAAGTGTACATACAGTTTGATGAATTTGGTCAAATATATACATATTGGGTGTCCCCCATAATATACACACACACTTTGAATAATTATAAAGGCAGTGTGTATTAAAGTACATTTTATTTTCAAAATTGAGCTATCAGCCATAACACCCTGTAGTTCTATAAGCACCACCGCAGTCATCATGGCAGAAGATCCCTGGTGCTCCTTTGCAGTCAGTCCCCTCCATTCCCTGTCCTAAGCAACCTCTGGTCGCCTTTCTGTGATAGATCAGGTGTATATTCTAGAATTTTACATAATTGAAATTACACAGTATGCATTTTTCTTTTTGGGGTGGCTTCTTTAACTTAGCATGATTATTTGAGATACATCTAGGTATGTTGTCTGCTTTTCTTTTATTGCTGACTGATATTCCATTGTATGGTTATATTACAATTAATCTGCTTACCTGTTGATGGACACTTTGGTCATTTCCAGTTTTTGGTTATGAAAACAGCTATTATAAACATTTGTATACAAGTATTTGTATGGGCATGTGCTTTTATTTCTCTTGATAGCATATATACTTGTAAACTGTAGCTTAATACTAAGTCTTTAAAAAAATCTTTGTTGTTAATAGTATTATATATGTCCCCCTTTTTCCCCCATTAACTCCCTCCAGCCTGCCCCAGGCTTTCACCACCAAATTGTCCCTGCCTATGATCACCTCCCACCCACCCGTTTTCCCCAACTTCTTCCCCCCCCCTCCCCCCCCCCCCCCCCGCCTTCCCTCCTAAGCTTATATCCTTGTAAACTGTAGCTTAATACTAAGTCTTTAAAAAATAATATTTTATTTTAAAATTACAGTTAACATACAATATTATATTTAGTTGTATAACCCAGTGATTAGACATTTATATAACTTATAAAATGATCACCCTGATAAGTCCAGAACCTATCAGACACCATACATAGTTATAATATTATTGACTATATTCCCTATGCTGTACTTTACATCCCCAAGACTATTCTGTAACTACCAATTTGTACTTCTTAATCCCTTCACCTTTTTCATCCATTCCCCCAACCCTCCTCCCATCTGGCAACAGTCAAAATGTTCTTTGTATCTGTGAATCTAATTCTATTCTGCTTGTTTATTTTGCTTTTTAGATCCACTTATAAGTGGAATCATATGGCATATGTCTTTCTCTGACTTATTTCACTGTCTGATTTATTTCACTCAGCACAGTACCCTCTAGGCCTTTCCATGTTGTTGCAGATGACCATCCTTTTTTGTCTGAGTTGTTTCATTGAATATATGCATCACTTCTTTATCTGTTCATCTATTGATGGGCACTTAGGTTGCTTCCATATTGTGGCTATTGTAAATAATGCTGCAGTGAACATATGGATGGATCTGTATTTTTGATTTAGTGTTTTGGGTTTCTTTGGATAAATACCCAGAAGTGCAGTTCCTAAATTGTATCTGAGCTTCTTATTAAATATTTGTTAAGTAGATAATATGATTTAGCATACTGGAGAGGACCTAATGACAGCTTGATCTGTTGATTACTATGGGCCTGGGGTAGGCCTAGCTATAAAGTCGGTCTTTGTTTTAAAGATAGGCAAGAGGGCTCATTTTAAGATTTTTTTTGTTTGTTTATTAGGGAACTGGTGAAAAAGCAGTTCATAGCTGGTGCCAGAGCTAGTATTCAAAACCCTTCATTCTTAATTATTTCTGTTCTGCCAGCGTGCTTCTTCAGCTTTTGATTGGCATTTCTTTATAAAGACAAAGTGGATTTACCTAACGGACAATAGGAATATTTCTCGCATCCTTGGGATTTTAAAGTTTAGGAGGGCTGGTTTAATTGTGTCCCTGAAAGAGCACATTGTTTATAATCACAGAGTTGTGAGATCAAGTACTGCCTGTTATCTATAATATTAGGTCTAGTAATAATTAATGTCGTTTTCTAATACTTTTTTAAATCGAATTTATTTAAACAATACAACAAAATTTAATCAACAATATAGTTGCCGTTGTTTTCTACTACTTGTGCCCAACGCTCAGGAAGCATTTTAATCCCTCTGTTGTAAAATTCTTGTGATTTTGATGCAAATAATTCGGTCAATGCATTTTTGAGGCATTCTTCATTATTAAATTTTTTTCCAAGAAGAAAGTTTTGCAAAGACGAAACAAATGGTAATCAGAAGGGGCAATATCAGGAGAATATGCAGGTTGAGGGAGAACTTCCCATTCCAACTGGCGCAGTTTTTCAGCAGTGATTCTTGCAGTATGCGGTCGTGTGTTATCGTGGTGAAGAATTACGTCCTTCCGATTAATCAGCGTGGGTTCTTTTTCTCTTAAAGCTTGGGCTAACCTTTCCAATTGGGCACTATACACTGCACTTGTAATGGTTTGGTCAGATGGTAAAAGTTCATAATGAAGAATTCCTTTAAAATTCCACCAAACACACAACATCACTTTTTTCGCATGCAAGTCAGGTTTTGTCGTGGGCTGCGGAGCCTCATTTTTGTCCAACCATTGAGGCCGCCTTTTCAAAGTAACATACAGCACCCATTCTTCATCTCCGGTAACAATTTGCTCTAAAAACGGCAAACGGTTTTGACGAGAGAGGAGCGAACTGCAAATTGTGACTCTTTGATTACGGTTGTTGTCGGTCAACTCATGAGGAACCCATTTTCCAAACTTTTGGACTTTGCCAAGTGCACGCAATTGATTGGAAATTGTTTTTTGTGAACAATTTAAAGTTGTCGTAAGCTCTTGTTGGGTAATTTGAGGGTTTTGCACCAAAAGAGCTTGAAGAGCTTCTTGATCAAAATTGGACACACGGCCTCGACCACTCTTGTCATCTAACGAAAAATTTCCCTCGCGAAATTTCTCAAACCAACGCTGGCATTTTCTGGCGCTAACTGCATCTTGACCAAGAGCACTACAGATGTTTTTTGCAGCCTCACTTGCTTTTCTTCCTAATTGGAACTCGTAAAGCATGCAGTGCCAAATATGCTCTTCATCCGCCATCTTCTTAGCCCTAGTTTTGCAACAAAAACCAAACCAAACACAAACTTTTTCAAGCAAAACTTGTTAATTGCACTTCACACGTTCTGTAGATACCACATGTTTGAAGGTTATGTCAATACAAGTCAACGCCAAGCAAGATTTTAAAAGAATGTTAAAAAAAGACATTAATTATTACTAGACCCTTAATAAAAGGATAATATGTTAATTAGACCAGATGTCTAGAGTCCTTCCGGGTGTCATTCCTGATGTTCTTCCAGTTGAAGCAGGGGCTAGAGGGAAGCTAGTGCCAGCAGCCAGGGGAACGAAGGCCTACTCTTGCACGAATTTTTGTGCATTGAGCCTCTAGTTGATTAATATTATTAGTATTAGTATGTTACTATATGCTCTTGGGCCTTGGTTGTCTCATTCTATGAGGCAGGGTTGTGCTGAATGAAGGAAAATATTTCTTAGCACAGTAAGAGATAGTTATCTTATTTGTTTTCCTAAATTGAGAATTTGCTTTTGACATTAATAGAGGTGGATGGACCACAAACTTCTGTTTGTGTTCAAATAGAAGTGGTCTACTGTGTTCAAAATTTAGTAGGTGTCACACTAAATAAAAAAATAAAAAATATGATAAAAATAGAAACTTGAGTGGATAATGACTTTGGGAAATACTGTATAGCTTCCTTTTGGAGACTTACAAGGCATCATAATGTACTATGTGTTTCTTTTTTAAACAAAGGTAGATTGAGTTCATCATTAGTCTTTTGACATCACTGATTTTAAAGAATACCCATATTCCACGCAGTGTTGTTTGTGAAGCACTGCTTTAGGGTAATAATTTTCAAGATTACTTGGCAATAAAATTCTATTTGTCTATCTATGTATCAATCAATCATCTATCTATCGAGGCTTCTCAGGTAAGTACTTACTGAGCCATTGGTAGTTATGCTTGCAACAGAAATTTATGAACTTTAAATGAAATTGCTTTAAATTACAACTTTTATGGAATTTGTTGGCTGAATGTTGTGACAAACTATTGAAATTCACCTCAGGGAAAAATTATAAAGTAGTAACAGTCTTTATCAGAGTGAATGTTGTATTTTTATTTTAGAGTTGATATTACTTGTTGAAATCATTGCTAATATAGTATTAACAGTTATAAATAGCTGGGTCTCAGGGTTCAACTTAGTTCATTTTCAATATGGTCAGATTCTAATTTCAGATTTCTGGTTGGTATTCTCATTTTTCATCAGTTTTGTTGAAGAGAATTACATAGTTAGAAAGAGTTGTTACTAATGGACATCTGGGTTCAGCCCATGTTATTCTAACCCCTTTGTTTTGGTGTCCATGTCAGAGGACACATTCTTAACTTATTTAAGTGAGATTACACATGCCGGTCTACTGAACACCTCACAGTGAGTTGTCATTTGGTTGAATTTGGTAAGGTATCTGGCAAGTGATTATGTTTTTATAGTGTAGTGGCATAGGAATCAAACCTGATGTATTCTCCATTATACTTCAGAACCTATTTGCAGAGTAGGCACTAGTATTTGTTGAATAAGTGAAAGAAGAAATAAAATCTAATGGTTGACAGGGTTTTGTGGAATATTGCTGTTTTTGCTTTGGACTGCAGTAGTGTTGAGTGGATCCTAGTCCCCCAGTTCATGGTACTGTCAGCAGTTATCAAATTTTTTTCTTCCTTTCATCTATAGGCAACCATTTTTATGTGTTTAATATATAATATCTTTTAGTTTTTGCAAAATGCATATTGAAGCATCGTTCATGAATTTTACATTTACATAGATGTTATTATGTATTTAATGTGAGCTTTTCCCACTCTACATTGCTTTTTGATGACTTAGGCACCCAACCTTCCTCTTTTCTAGTTTTGTGAGGAAATCTTTGTAAATGGTGTTAGACTTTTTGGCTTTTGTAATTAGAGAAGTGTGAAAGAATCCTTCCTCCACCTCTTTGCTCAGAGAATGAAGATTGCATTGTCCTTGAATGCTGATTATAATTTTTTATATAAGTTACTTTTGTTTTCTTCACCATTAGGTGGTCACTGATTACTTCTCATAGATATTGGTGTATCTGAGGATTGTGGCTGTATTTTTTTTTTTTTTTCATTGAAATTTTTATTGAGCTGGTTGTAGATTCACTTCCAATTGTAAGAAATAATCCAGAGCAATCCCTGTATATTTTGTCCATTTGCAGCTGATATATATATATTATATATATTATATATAATATATAATATATATAATATATATATAATATATATAATATATATTATATATATATAATATATATATTTTTAAAATATATTTTATTGATATTTCACAGAGAGGAAGGGGGAGAGAGAGAGAGCTAGGAACGTCGATGAGAGAGAAGCATTGACCAGCTGCCTACTGCACACCCCGCACTGGGGATATGCCCGCAACCAAGGTACATGCCCTTGACCGGAATCGAACCCGGAACCTTTCAGTCCCCAAGCCGAAGCTCTATCCATTGAGCCAAACCAGTTTCAGCTGCTTTATATATTTTTAATTTATAGGAAGTCTGAGAAGTTTGATAGAATAATGTCAAATGAAAGTGAAGGCTGAGGCATTCTCGTGCAAATGTAATACATGAACATTAGTATTTGGACTTTATTTCAGTTGTCTTTTTTGCTGGATTTTTTAGTATGTGTTTCAGATAGTGAAGTTATATAGCTGAGTTCCGTGTAAGTGACATAATATGTTATTTCCTTCTTTTTTTAAAAAAATTCTTATCCAAGGATATTTTTTCCATTGATTTTTAGAGAGAGTGGAAGGGTGAGGGAGAGACAAAGAGAAATACTGATGTGAGATGTGAGAGAGTCAGACACATCGATTGATTGCCTTCTGCATGCCCCTGACCAGGGCTGGGAGCCTGCAACTGAGCCTGCCCTCGACTGGAATCGAACCCAGGACCCTTTAGTCTGCAGGCCGACGCTCTACCCACTGAGCAAAACTGGCTAGGACTAGTTCCTTATTCTTTAAGCAAATTGAAATTTTATACAAATACTACTGAAAGTCATTATACAAATGTGGAATCTTAAATTTTGATAATAATGAGATATTTCTGTGTATGTTTTGTTTCAGGTTATTTCACGAAGAAATCCAGAGGATGTCCAGGAGGTAACATGTTATATGAAAATTTTATTTAATGTATTTGACAAAAATTTAACTAAATGCCTGATTGAGCAAATTGAATTGTCAGTCTTTTTTTAAAAATATATATTTTTTCATTGATTTTAGAGAGGAAGGGAGAGGGAGAGAGAGATGGAAACATCAATGATGAGAGAGAATCATTAATAGGCTGCCTCCTGCATGCCGCATGTGCCCTTGATTGGAACCTAACCCGGGACCTTTCAGTACACAGGCTGACACTTATTCACTAAGCTAAACCAGCTAGGGCTGTTTCTCAGTCTTTGTATTTGTATGTTTGTGTGGAGGTTGTCTTCAGCTCACAAAACAGTAGCAGAAGTGTCCTAGTTCAGACCTATTAAGTATATTCTAAGTTGTCGTAGGTTTTAAGTTATATGACTAAGAATTTGAGGATTATTTAGATGTATTAAATATGTGTTAGATTTCAGTTGATGGTAAATTTTAAAAATAAGATTTTTCAGGAATTAATAGTGCTATTTAATAATGTGATAATTTTTCTCATACTCATCAGATTTCAATATTAGTTAAGGGCTCCTATTTACCTATTTCTAAATTATGATGCCTATTTAATATAAACTTGAAAAGTATTTGGTAACTAGTATTAATTTTAAAGATTATAATATTAAATTGTGGGTTTCTGTCTGCTCCCATTTTTATATTGAGTTGATATGTTGACATCTTGAAAAAGTGCTTTGGGTGTAGATGTTTCTTTTTTAAATTTTGTAGATGCTAAGTTTATTTTGCCGACTCTCCCTCTCTCTAAAATGATACCAGTTTGTTATGATTTTGCTTAAAACTGTGGTTCTTTATTTGTTATTATTTTGTATATATACCTCTAAGAATCCTATCTGAAAAGCTTAGTTATTTTAACAGTTTTAAAATTTATATTAGTGCTTGTTCATTTTCTTTTAAAAAATTAATTTATTGTTTAATTACAGTTGATACAGTTTTATATGTTTAATACAATATTATATTAGTTTCAGGTGCACAACATAATGCTTAGACACTTATATACCTTTCAAAGTGATCACATTGATCTAATTTTCACTCAGATTAGAAGGACATAGCATGTTAGGGATTTTTTTTTCTTACTAAAGAAACAGGATAAATGAGCAGTCTTGATTCTTCAACAGTGTTTTTCATTTCTTTTCTTAAATTGAATCTTAATATCTTTATGTGGGGTATATGTTTTCGATTTAGTCACAAGCCCCACTATTTCTTAAATAAAAATCTGGCTTGATTCATATATTTAAGTTGATTGTTTGGTACTGGTTGGTTTGTGTATGTGACATCAGATTTAGAATATATTTTGACTTTTATACTTTACCATTCTTACTATATCTAATATGGCATTTGTTTTTTCTCTGATGGTTAAAAATATTTCAATAAAGGATATATTTTTAAAAGATTCCTTATTATTTTCCTAGGGTTTTAAGACATCTAACTCCTCTCTACATCCCCTATCCTCAATAGACATGAAGATACTATTGTAATGTTATTTTGGAAGAAAAGAAGATGTATCTATATATCTGTCCTTCTAAAATGGCAGAGAAAATGATTACACCATTGATTGAAGTACTTTCTCTACTTAAGTGTCAGCTGATTAGTATGAACTGTTCTTTAGGATTTAGAATTCTTTAGAATGTTGAATTAGTAGTCAATGTCAGGGTTTTCTGCTTTTGAAAATTTACAACTCTGTTAAATCTGAAAATGGGTTGTGTTTCTTTTGAAATATTGTCTGATTGCTATGCTGTAGTTTGTAGCTTGATGTTCCCCTTTTTCAGGGAGAATCCTGAACCAACCTATCATGAACATACTCTCTGCCATTTCCTTAATCCTTTTTTTGGGAAAACTCTTTTATAATAACAACTGTTGGTGAACCATTCATCAGAAAACTCTTGTAAGTGTCCTTTAGTTAGATGATTGCATGGTCCTTTGTTAGAAATGCTTTAAAACACACACACACACACACACATACACACACACACACAACAACAACAACAACAACAAAAACCCCCCACAAAAAACAAAAAACAACAACAACCCAAAACAACCATGTCTTCTGTCTATCTAGTTTTTTAAAATATAGAATAACCTCAAAATTATAACAATACTTTTAGTTTCCCATATGTTTCATTTAAACATTGGGATTCTCATTAGGAGAGGAATCACCTACTAGAATTTGTTTCCATTTCCTTTTCTTTTCCTTTCTCTTTCTGTTAACTGATTAATTTAGTTATTGCTTTAGAATTTAGACTTTTCAAGACTATTGAGGATTAGTCAATGTATACTTAATCTAACCAAATATAGGGCTAAAATTATGCTATTCTTATAAAATGAGAAACTTTGCTGTTTGTTTATATGTAAATATATACCTACGTACCTTAGCACATGCAGTGTTTTCTTCCCAATAATGCTTAAATATTAACATGGAATAAATAATTTTAAAATTATCAGCTTTTTTTTTTCTTATCTAAGAGAAAAAGTTTAAATTTTCTCTTAATTTTTATTTATTAAGAGCAACATAGATGAATCTGAGGAGGCACAACAATAGTCAATGTGGCCTCTTGTACAGAAGAGTCTCTAGGGCATGAATACTTGTATCAAGTAAAGAGAGAGGTGGAAAAATGCCCTCCCTCTCCCACCCTTTAAAAAAAGTAACCTGCCTGGCTCTGTTTCTCTGTAGGTGGTAAATTTTACTGGTGTCAGAAATGTGTCAAGGGAAAGAAAATTAATAAGCAATAGTATGGTAGATGATCCAGCAGGTTCTAGTACTATAGAGGAGTAAAAAGGAAAAGTTAATTGAATTGAGTGGTTTTGTAGCATACAAGAGATCTAACGGTTTTTGATATCATTAAATGAAGTTATCTTAAAACTTTTTAATGTAAAAATAAGGGAATGTTTTTAATAAGTAAGCTTTTATTAAATTTGTAGTCTATATATGGTTGTCATTAAATTGCTATTTGATTGAAGAATTTTACTCATAGCTAATGAATAAGAAATTTCTGCAGAAATGGTTCAATACAGCAATAGCTATTATACAGTGATTTTTATTTCATTTTGTTTTATTTTTTCCCATTACCATTTAACCCATCTACATCCTCTCACACCTCTACCCACTTCCCTTGATTTTTTTTCTATAATGGGAAAAATTTGATTATTAGAGAAAATAATTTTTTGCAAGTATCTGTTGGGACTATGTATAGTCTAATTATAAACATTTATACTTATTGATATAATGGGAGTGCGCTTCTGTTTACTTTTCCATTTTTAAGATTTCTAGAAATGTCCAAACTTAAAAGGAGTAAGAAGAAAAACAGTCAGTAAATGTTGACATTTTGTGATGCTTTGGTTTCCTGCATTTTTTGAGGTTTTACATTTGTTCTTAGGTCACTCAGTACTAAAGTTGTAGTGTGAGAATAAGGATTATGTGAGGAAATAAATTAGAGGACATAGTGAAGAAACACAGATTCTCACCTTGTGGAGGTGGTTCTTATTCTTGCTCTGACAATCTACTGGTTATTTACCATGGTATTATTATCATTACTAGAGGCCCAGTACATGAACTCAACTGTGGTGTTGCTTTGCCTGGCCAGCGATCAGGGCCAATCTGGGCTGTCTCGCCCAATCCAGATAGGCCTGACACCAGCAGCAAGCTAACCTACCAGTCTGAGCATCTGCCCCTGGTGGTCAGTGCACATCATAGCGACTGGTCAAGTGGTTGACCATTCAGTTGACTGCTCAGTTGGAAACTTAGCATATTAGACTTTTATATATATATAGATTATGACTAACTTAATTTTTGCCCCTTAAATTACTCTGTTTTCATTTTACAGGGACTCTAACTAGAATATACATTTTATCTGGAGATTTGTTTCCATGAGCTCTATAGTCTTTTGAATAGCTTTAATTTCTAGTTTATATGGCTTTACATTTACCTTATGTAAGATTACTTTTACAAGTCAGTCACTCATTTTCTCCTTAAGCCCGTTGGCATAGTGGTACCACCATAATTTGATCTATTTTAAAAAATATGAAAGTAACATTGTTTTTTTCCATGGCAGAATTATGTACATGTATTAAAATTAAAAACTACAGAGAAGCACTAAATAGGAGAATTAAAATCACTATAATTTTACTATTCCAAGGACTTTTGCTTTTCAAGTATTGGGCTGGCTCTCTCAATTCCTCTTACTTTGTCTTTTACTGGAACTGTTGGTTCTTTGCCCTCAGCCTTTGTCACATTCACTTCCATTTTAAAATAAAATTTCTTCTTCCGTCTATGTACCCTCTCTCGTGGCATAGGCAAGCTTTTTAAACACTTACTCTGGACTTGGCGTTCTTTTCCTTACTTCTGGCTGGCCCCTTGGTGTTCAAGTTCCCTATCATTCAGTTGTTAGGCTCCTTATCTCATTACAGACACTGAGCAATCTTTACTGAGTGAAATTAACACATCTTGCTTAGGTCTTGCTATTGAACCACAAGCCCTCCACCCTATGGGACATCTCCAGTTAGATGCGTCACAAGTACCTAAATTAAATGTATCTACAGTTGAACTTCGTTCTTATCGCCAAACAGCTTTTTCTCCCTTGGCTTTTCACCTTAGGGAATTGTATCACATTTATCCAGTTGCAAAGCTAAAATTCTAGTAATTAGATTTGCCATTGTTCTCCTTTTAAAAACTTCATCTTCAACCCCTTCTTTCCATCTTTATTTTTGTTGGTCTAATCACTACTTCCCTTTAGGTCACTCACCTAAGGTAATACTTTCTGTGAAGCCTAAAGACCAGACCTGGTGGAGGTGCTCCTTCCATATTGCCCTGGGCTGCCCTCTGGCATTGATCGCGCTGCTGTCTTGTGATGTGCTTACTGTGATGGCATATCTTCCTCACTAGAGGGGAACTCTTTGAGGGCAGGGTTGTTTCTCATTTCTTCATTTTTTTTGTGCCTACATAGTACCTATCACAAAGTAGGGCCATGGAATACTTGTTTTGTTGACTATTTTTGTTGTTGAGTAAATGAACAAAAGGAAGCATCAGGAGGGATGCTTTTTTATTTTTTATTTTTTAAATTAAATTATTATCTTTGTACATATACCATTACCCCCTTATCCCCCCCATAAGGAGGGATGCTTATTTAAATTAATTCACGTGGCAGTCTAATTAGCCCCCTAGGATTATCACTGTGTTAGAAACAAATAATTTATTTATCATGGTTGAATTTTTGGTAGCTTGACAAAGTTTAGTGAAGAATTTCACACATACATAGAGTAAATTTTTAATATTGACTTTGTTAGAACTGAGGTAAGTAGGTTTTTTTAAAATTTATTTTTTATTTATTCATTTATTATTATTATTTTTTATTAAATTATTATCTGTGTACATATTTTAACATTGCCTCCCCCTCCCATACTTACCCTCCCTCCCCAGAGTTTTGTGTCCATTGGTTGTACTTATATGCATGTATACAAGTCCTTCGGTTGATCTCTTATCTCCCCCAGATCTCCCTACTCTCCCCGCTGTAATTTTACAGTCTGCTTGTTGCTTTACTGTCTTTATATCTGACTTTTGGTTTGTCAGTTCATAATGTTCTTTATTATCCATAAATGAGTGAGGCCATGTGGTATTTCTCTTTCATTACTGGCTTATTTCACTTTTTTTTTTTTTTTTTTTTTTTTAGCAAAGGCCCCAATATACTAGGTGATGGAATTTAAAATGTAGTTTACTCATTTTGTGGAGACTGAGGGGTGAATCAGTGATATCAAGGCCATGTTCAAATCCTTTTCCTTTATAACATTTTTTTCCTAATGTAATCTGAATGAAGTTAAATAATAATTAAAACTAATGAAGGTGTATTTACTTTTTATATGTTGTATAATCTAAATGAATATTGTTTTTGAAATATACTACTTTTAATGGTATTCTGATCAAGATTCACCTCGATTACTACTTTAAATTGAGATTTATGAAATAAAAAAGTTTATGTTAATTACTTGCTACATAGTTATTTCCCCCTCAGTGTTATTTTCTTTGTTTATCCTTTTAACAAATGCTGAGTATATACTTTGTATTTAAAAATTGTCTAAATTATTTTGTGTCTATAAATATGCTGTTTTTGAGACAGAATATATATTGTATATTTTGACATCTAGCTCATTTCCATGGCCAATAGTAATTGGATTTTGAAGAGGTTAAATGAGATTTTGTACCATGTTGAATGTTTTTTCCAGTTTGAATAAGACAGTACTTACTTAAAAGTTAAGACAGGACATTTGGAAGAAAAATTGCTGTTTCTATATTTTTAAAGCAAATATTAGTTAATTTTAGACAGTTAACCATATTGGTTAGAACAAACACTTGTTTTTCTTGGCATGACTATTTTGAGTACTAATGAAACAATTATGTTCAGATATCTGAATCTAGATACACATTTTTTCTTTCTCTTTAGATAATCGTGTGGAAGAGATACAGTGACTTTAAGAAACTACACAAAGAACTATGGCAAATTCACAAAAACTCATTTCGACATTCAGAATTGTTTCCTCCATTTGCTAAAGGAAAAGTGTTTGGTAAGTGATAATATGACTTTGTGGTTTTTGATGATTAGCTAGTTATGCATATATGCTGAAATACTGTGCCATGAAGTCAGAGGCCCCATTATTTATTACAATAATTCATATCATGTAGCAAGCATCAGGCGCCTGAAGTTGTTTTCATGTTCTTGGTATAGTTTTTTTTTTTTTTTTTTTTTTTTTTTTTTTTTTTTAACTCAGAGCACATTTACTCCTCTTTCCATGAAACAGCAGCACAGCAACTCCAGCCAATCAAGTAAAAAATGTGTAAGAACTTAAGAAAAGATGATGTTGAATTACTTTTCTAGTACTGACTTTTTAATGTCTATACTTTGTATGTTTCTTGCAAATGTTAACCCATTTATCATATAATATAAAATGTTGTTAATATCATAGATCTCTAAAGGAAATTAAAAGAAAAACAAACCACAAACCCAACCTATATTTAGACTTGGATAGCAAGTCTCATTAGTTACAATTTATTTCTCCCCACCCCCACAGATTTTAAAAAAGAAATGATCTCAAGGGTTGAGATTTAATAAAGAAAATTAGAAAGTTTTCTGTGTTATCAAGTACATTCTCTCTTTAAAAAAAAATATTTTTATTGATTTTTTACAGAGAGGAGGAGAGAGAGATAGAGAACTAGAAACGTCGGTGAGAGAGAAACATCGACCAGCTGCCTCCTGCACACCCCGCACCGGGGATGTGCCTGCAACCAGCGTACATGCCCCTGACCAGAATCGAACCCGGAACCTTTCAGTCCATAGACCGGCTCTCTACCACTGAGCCAAATCGGTTTCAGCATCAAGTACATTCTTAAGTGAAACTGGCATTTAAAGAAATTTTACTATGGGTGAGTGGCAGTAAAGAATATGATGATTAGTAGTAAGAGTAGTTTGGTGCCATTGTCTTGATTCCTGCTAAGAGGCCAGCAGTTTTACTGCCATTGGTTTTAGATATCAGTGCAAATGTCAGTGTGGTGAAAAATACAACCACATTATGAAAATTGCTTTGACTTTGTTGATCTCTTGTAAGGCTCTTAGGGAATCCTCAGAAGTCCCTGGACCATGTTTTGAGAATACTTATTGTACATGCACACACAAATTTGTGCACACACATATATACATGTTCATGGGTGTGCCTTGCAGCATTTTCAATAGAATACTGAAAATTGTATTTACACAATATGTGATTGTATGAATGTGCCATAATTTGGCCAATGTATAGAATTCTTCAGCTAAAATTTTAAATATACTGGTATGGAAATATGTCCAAGGTCTATTTTTAAAATGTAGGAAACAAATATTGCCCAGCAATGTGCTTAGTAAGATCCCATCTATATTTAAATAGACTTATGTATTTGTGTGAAGACATACCTACACACATTTGTTTAATGTGCAAAACCTCTGAGGTCATGAGAGGAGGGCTACTTTTACTTTCTACCTTAAACCTTCTGAACTGTTGAAATTAACTGTGCACACATATCTTTAAATTCAGTGTTGGAAGAGACACAGCCTGGGTTTTAAAACAATAAGCTTGTCTCTTGGTGAAAGGGTTCTTAGCTATTATTGGTTCTTAGCTATTATTGTTTGTTGCTAATGGATTATCTTCAACTTTTCTCCTCATTCTTACATATTATAGAGTGAAAGTTTCTTATAAATCTTAATAAGTAAGTAATTTATCACTCTCAGTGAATGGTACAGTCCATTTGTAATACTTGATAACTGCAGTGAACCCTGCAGGTAGCAGCTGTGGTTGTGTGGAGGGATTAGTTGGTTAATCACCTGTCTTTTTAACTATTCTCACATTTTAGTATAGGAGCCTCAGCAACAAAAGACAGACCTGTGGTAATTTGCAGAACCATCAGATATGTAATGTTCTAGTATTATAGTGAGAAGAACACAACTTTTGGAATCAGATAGCTTTAGGCTCAAGCCTTCTATCCACTATTTACTTGTGGTGTGATCTTACACAAGTTAACATCTGAGCCTTTTTTCTTATTGGTAAGATAGGAATAGTATCTTCCTGTTTTGAGGATTATATCTTATATGTGTCTAGTTCAATGCTCGACACATTATCAGTTATTGTTAGCTTGTATATTAATAAATAAACTTATATTAATTTGAACATATTCATCTGTTGTTCAGCTTACCATTTCTCTAACATACATACTCTCTTGTATCTCTTTCTTTAGTGTTGCACCATTCCACTGTGAAATGTTTTGCTAACCTTTCATACTTTTAGATGTCTCCTCTTTTAGTAAGTTTTCTGTGTCTCCTTCAGACTGAGTTAGTTGTTTTCCCTTCCAATTCTACATTTCACCAATGTAGCAACTGATTTTCCTTCAATTTTTTTAATTTGGAAAATTTTCCAATTTATAGAAAAAAAGCCCGAAAGAATTCAGGTCTAACTCTAAAATAATTTCTTTTAGTTATCATTGTGCTTGACAGTTAGGCAGACATGAGTGGAACAAAGATGGTAGGCCAGGTACAGAAAGTCACCAGGACAGAAAGGCCCCGGTGCTGGTAATGGGTAAACTGGAAAAACAAGGACCTCGCCCCCAGGGTAACTTTTCTTCTCCTAGCATATCACTGGTCATGTGGTTTACTCCCCCTGACCTTTCAAATAGCTGGTCATGCAGTTCGGACCCTCTCCTAATCTTCCCTCTCCTGACGTGTTGCTAGTCATGCAGTAGCCTCCCTGGGAGGAGGAACAAGGGGCTGACGAGTGGCCTCATGTGACTCCCATCCAGGCCCTTGCACTACTACTCCCTTAAGCATTAACCCCTAGGGGTAACACATTGGCCTCAGTTGTGGTTTAGCTCCAGGCCCAGAAAAGCAGCAGAACCAGACTGGCGATGCCATGGCTGATATCAGGACCAGCTGCAGTGACCCCCTGCTCTGATGCTGATGAATCATTAGAGTCCATGACACTGTAAGGACACACTAGGTGAATATTCTATTGAAAACTTCCCCTGAGCTTTCCAGATAAATACCCTCAAGACCAGGACCCAGTGTGGCTCTCTCTCCTGGGAGCATGCCCACAGCTCCCCCGAAACCCTCTACTTGCAGGTGGGTTACCTTTACCTTTCTCCTAAGCAACAAGGGCCTTTCTTTTGCCTCTGTAACTTGTTTCCTGAGCCTATTTCTTCTATTGCTTATTTCTTTTACCTTTGTGACTTTCTAAATAAACTTTCTCTTATACCTTGAGTCTTAGTTCTGAATTATTTCCTAGCTAAAACTCAAGTATCTCATACCAAAGTTGTTGAAGCAAGATCTGGTCTGACTCCACTGGCCTAACACCTGGTGCCATTATCGCTGCTGACATTAGGAAGTAGATATTTCCCTGTGAGCATGAGATACATTGAGCTTAGGTAGCACATATTATAAGTGGGATGATACAGAGGAGATTAGAATGGCCCCTGCATCAGGGTGTCAGGCAAATTTGTGACATGCTCCATATATTTGTAAATATATGGTGATATAAAAAGATTTGACTTTGAGTGGTGGGCACACAATGATGTATCAAGAATTATACACTGAAAATCTATGTACTTTTATTAATCAATGCTACCCCAATAAATTTAATAAAAAATATACAGTAAAACTATTTCTTTCAATTACCAGGAAGTAGACACTTCACCATAAGCAGGAGACATGAACTGAGTTATTTAGTGGTTTCAAATTCTTGCATTGGGCAGTAAAACTAGGAATCTCTTTGTGCCTCAGTTTTCAGTTAACATTTTGCAAAGCTACTGGAAATGTTTAAGTATTGTATGTGATGATGTTATTCTTAATAATTGTATTTTTTTAAACCTATATTGCTATCAGTATGATACATGGCATGCAACAAATGCCAAATGGTAGTCTGGTCTGAGAGTGGTAAAAATGGTCATGTTTGAAATACCTCATTAGCACTCACACTGTATATATAATTAAAAAATTGTATGAATACTTTCTGTCACCTTGTAAAACAGATCACTGATGTTGTGTGTTCTCCTTTTTCTCACAAGCATCTTGTCATGGGGTCTGACAGCGTCATACATGGAGTTTGGCTGAAAAAACTTTTTTCTTCAAACTGAAGTTTTTGACCCTGTTGATATACAGATGTTCTCATAATTTCCTCTCCTCAATTCCTTTGTAAAGCAAAAGTGGGAAAGGGAAATTATTTATGTAATTACATTAATAATTAGTAATTAATGTGTATTAAATTACTATAGAAAACCATTCTGGTTCTTGACAATTCTCTTTTCAATTTTAGTTTCAAATCACCAGCTTTTTAAGTGGTAAGTTGCTTATATTGACACACCTTAGATGTGATGGCACATTTATTTTTGAGTTGATATCTCTGTCTCTTTTTTTGTCAGAAACATTTTTTTGTCAGAAACATCATTTTTCTGGTGTGACTGCTGCTGGTTCCAGTTGGGGAGACTATTATAGATTTGACTTCTGAAGGTTGCATAATCAGTACAGGAAATAGTCTGTGATAGGTCTGCTGCTGCTTTCTGCTCTGTGAACATCAATTGTCGTAAACTGATGTTTGATTCTTCTTTATTTGTGCTAATTCTTATTTACTTGAAGGACGATTTGATGAAACCGTTATTGAAGAGAGAAGACAGTGTGCTGAAGACCTGCTACAGTTCTCTGCCAATATTCCTGCTCTTTATAACAGTAAACAGCTTGAAGATTTTTTTAAGGTTTGGAGGTCTTTCTAAAATATTTTGTATTTTATTAAATACCTGTGTTTTCTAAGGTAAACTTTTATTTTATTTGGAGGCTCTATTGGCATGTGTGTGTGTGTGTGTGTGTGTGTGTGTGTGTGTATATATATATATATATATATATATATGTTTATAATGGGTATGTCTTCCTGATGAATTGAATTGCTTAGTCTTATGCATTCTCTCTCTCTGTCTCTGGTAGTACTTATTAAAGCCTTACTTTGTATAATTTTAATATTGGTCTCTTTCAGTCACTGTTTGTATTGTACCTATTTTTTCATTCTTTTGCTTTCTATCTATTTGTGTTATTAAATAAGGGTATCTCTTACATGCAGTGTATAGTTTGATCTTCTTTTTTAAGCAGTCAGGAAATGACTGTTGTTGATTGGAGGAATATTTAATCCTTTTTTTGTTTGTTTTGTTTTGTTTTTGTTAATCCTAACCCAGGGATATTTTTCCATTGATTTTTAGAGAGAGTGTTAGAGAGCGGGAGAGACAGAGAGAAACATCAGTGTGAGAGAGATAATTTGATTGGTTGCCTCTCTCATAAGCCCAGACTGGGGCCTGGGACCAAGCCTGCAACCTGCATGTGCCTCCGTACCTCTGCCTTTACTTCCACAACTACTCTGAGTCTCAGTATGCTTTTCTCTTCCCTTCTAGTTGTAGAATTTCCACTCAGCCAGCCTTCCTGTCATTCTGGATGATGTTTGTTTTGTCTTTTAGTTGTAGTTTTGAAGTAGTAGTGCTAGGCAGCAAGATCAGGTGTTTATCCATGCCGCCATCTTGGTTTCTCAAGTATTTCTTTTTCAGCCCCTTTCTCTTATATTGGATTATTTCCCCCCCCTCCCCACCTTACATGTATAATAAGTTGGTATGCTTGATATCATTTCATATTTCTCCCTGGTTCTCATTATTTGGTCTTTTTTTCTATGAACTTCATACTGGATAGTTTCTATTGATCTTTACATTCATTGGTTATTCTTTCTCAAATCTGTTATTGAACTCTAGTAAATTTAAAGATTTTGATACAATACCTTTCAACTGCAGGATTTCTATCTGGTTCTTTTATTTTTAATTGAGATTAATTGACATAACAAAATTCACCATTTTAAAGTGGTGTACAGTTCAGTGGCTTTTGGTGTATATTCACTATGTTACACAACCATTATTGCTACCTGATTTCAGAACATTTTCATTACCCCATAAAGAAACCTCACTTCTTCTCCACCATGCCCCACCCCCTAGCAACTACTGAACTACTTTCCATCTTGATGGATTTGCCTATTCTGAACATTTCACATGAATGGAATCATACAACATGTAGCTGTTTGCATTTGGCTTCTTTCTCAGAGTTCAGTATTCTCAAGGTTCATCCATATTGTAGCATGTATCAGCATTTCATTTCTTTCTATAATATTAAGTGGATTTTGTTTATCCATTGATTAGTTGATAGACATTTGTATTGTCTCCACTTTTGACTCTATGATAATGCTTCTCTGTTTTTTGTTTTAAAAAAATAATTTCTACTTATTTATGTTTGCTATTTTATGAGTCATAGTTATTATATTTTCTGTTTTAAATGGATTCTTTTAAAAATTATATTTTTATTGATTTCAGAGAGGAAGGGAGAGAGAGAAACATCAATGATGAGAATCATCGATCGGCTGCCTCCTGTATGCCCCCTACCGGGGATTGAACCTGCAACCTAGGCATGTGCCCCTGACTGGAATCGAAACCGAGACTGTCTGCAGGCTGACACTTTATTCACTGAGCCAAACCAGCTAGGGCTCCTTTAATTTTTTAATTGTTATTTTCTTCAGTTATTTGAACATATTTATAAATAGCTACTTTGAATTTTTTGCCTTCTAAATCTAACATCTTTGCCCTCTCAGAGTTAGCTTATATTGACTGTTTCCTCTCCCCTCCCCTACTGTATGGAACACACACTTTCCTGTTTCTTTGTATGTCTTACTATTTTTTGTTCAAAGCTGGAAATTTTGGTTAATATATATTACAGCAATTCTGAATTCTGATTTTTTCTTCCCTGAGCATTGTTGCCATTGTTTTATTAGTATGTTTATTAACATAGCTGTACTAAATCTGTGCAATTTGTTTAATGCATAGTATGTGACTGCTGATACTTAAGGTTAGTTTTTAATCTTTCTTGTATTTTTAAATCTGGTTTAGTAGGAATTAGCTCTATATCATCTTAGTTTATTGGACAGCCAGTGTTTGGTCTTAGCTTATACTTAAACACTTTGTTTCTTATATGCTTCTCTTTATGCTGATAATTCTTTGTGTGTTTTCAAAGTTCAAGCAGTTTTTGAGTTTGCCCTGGGTCTTACTTTCCTTTGGGATGTCTTTCCTCTATGTATATGCACCATCTCATGTTTTGCCAGGGATTTGTAGATAGTTTGATTCACCTCTGGTCTCTCCTGTAGGGATGGTTAGAATGCTTATTAAGAATCCCTATGGTTGTGTTATTTTCTGGATCTTCCTGGTAAATGTCTGGCTAATGTTCTGGTCCTTTGCTTGCTGCAGCCTATGCTTGCTGAGCCACTCACTGTTCCTTGCCATGTGTTTGGCACTAAGATTGCTACTATTACTGATAATGCTATTTGGGGTAGATTTTTTTTTTTCTGTGCTTCAATCAAAATCGTGGCAACCTCATCTACAAGTGAATCTGCTGGTTTTCAAGGCTTGTCTTGCTTTTATATAATTACCTTGACCACCCATCTGGGATGGAAGATAGGAGCAACCCCAGGCAAGAATGCCACAGACTCCCAGAGTTCTTACCTGGGGTTTTGTGTTTTTTCATGAGTAATACGTCTTCACTTGCTTTATGTTTTTGGTTGAGTTCCAGAATCTCAAATTGCTATTTAGACAGTTTTCTCTAGTTATATTATTGTCTTTTGCAGTGAGCATTTGCTCATCTACTTATTTTACCATATCTAAACTCCTTCCCCTTCAGACTGACTTTCATTAACAAAAACTTTGAGAAACTATATAATAAGAGTTTCTTTTTACTGCATAATCAGGAACACTAAAAGGTTAATGTTTGAACTAGAGATTTAAAGTAGAATTGTGGCATATTGTTCTACTACTTCCCTTTAGTGCCTATAGAACACATTTATTTATCTATCTATCTATCTATCTATCTATCTATCTATCTATCTATCTATCTATCTATTTCTTCACCTGAGGATATGTTTATTGATCTTGGAGAGGAATGAGAGGAAGGAGGGAAGAAGGGAGGGAAGATAGGAAGGAAGGAGGGAGGAAGGGGAAGAGAGAGGGAAGAAGAGAGGGAAAAGAAAGAAACATTGATGTGAGAGGGAAACGTTGATCGGTTGCCTACTGTACTCATCCTGACCAAAGGTGGTCCTGACCAGGTATCAAACCTGCAGCCTAGGTATGTGCCCTGACTGGGAATTGAACTCGCAGCCTTTTAATGTACAGGACGACATTCCAATCCACTGACCCATCCGAACATGGCTGGCAGGAAGACTTTTGATTAGATAAAGATAGTTGTTGAAATCTTTGTGCTGACAGAGATAGAAAATAGGGGTTTTATATTTCTCTTGGGTTTTGCTATCCGGGAAATAGTGTTTGGGGGCATAGAACTGTTGGTGGAAGGTAGAGAAAAAATGTTAAGGAGCAGAAGAGCTATTATTTTAATTAGTTATACTTTTTCAAAGATTATAAGCCCATATATTCCTGATTGGAGCAGTGTATAAAGCCATGACACAGAATCACACCACTATCACTTGCCTGATACTAGCATTCTCTAATTACATGTAAGTAAGAGAAAGTAGTCTTTTAGGCTTAAATTTGCAAACTTAAATATAGAACTAAAATGATTGTCACATTGAGAAATCAATTTTATATTAAAATTGTATTTTTTAATAAAAATATTTTAAACTTATTTAGTTTTACTTTATTGTATTTAAGTGGTTTTCAAATTTAAGTAACTTCTGGGATTTCCTGAAGTGCTGTGTGATATATTGCAGTTTTTAATTTGACAAAATTACATAACTCTCTAATGGAGTTCATCATTTATCACTAATTGGAATGACTAAGGATTCTGAACAATATTCTTTAACTGGTGCGTGTTTTCTTTTTCTGTATTTTTAAATGAGTACATTTGAGAGATTTTTAAAAATTTGCTTTTATAAAAAGCCATGTAGTATTATAAACATGATAGTATTCCTATTGAATTTTTAAATAATTGACTATATTATAGAATAGTTTACAGAAAAATTGTGCAGAAAGTAGTAGAGTTTTTTCATATATTCCCCTCCTTCCTCACAGAGTTTATTAACATATTGTATTGGTGTGGTACATTTGTAAACATTGATGGACCAATATTGATATTCTGTTGATTTTGTAAAAAGCAGTTGTAATCTTATTTAATAGATAATTAGTTTTTGTAATCCTTATACAATACCCTGTTGAGAAGTCTATAGTTCATTTATGACTGATTTTTAAAAATACTGTTATTGTGAATGACACACAATTCCTCTGATCTTTTTAGGATGGAATAATTAATGATGGTTCTGAATTGATTGGTCCTGTTGAAGCTTATTCGGATTCACTCACTGATAGTTTTCTTGAGTATAGTACAGAAGGTAAGAGATTTTATTTTTTTTTCATTTCAGTGGTTTTTAGTATAGAAGATTAAATCATATTTACATTGCCAAAAAAAATGGATATAGGAATTTGGGAATACATAATTAATTCTAAGATTCTTTTTACTTTTTTTTACATTTGTATCATTGATATTGGGTGCATGATACTGGGATGATGATATCTTGCATTTAATTGACAGCTTTTTTCTTTCTTAGTAATATATAAACTAATGATTCCTCCTACAATCAATGCCATCTTAAATTTGATGAAATGTGGTATGAGTGTTCAGAATTTGTATTTTCTATAGTAAGAATGCCTTGGTTAAATTTATTCAGCAGCATATGATCTTTCGACAATTAACTTTTTAAGACTGGCTTTAAAAGTTTAGTCATGTACCCAGAAAAATAATTTAAGCAGTTTTAGTGTTTTTGATATGTTTTATAATAATATGAGTAAACAAAATCAATTTTTGTACTTGTAATAATTTTAATTAAAGAATGAATAATCTCTTATTTTTCTATTAAGCCATCCTTGATTTTTTTATGAAGATTTTAAACAGTTTTTGGATTTTTGGATTTCCTTAACTAGTTTTTTTTTTTTTTTTTTTTTTTTTTCAGGGAAGACTTTGGAATTAAAAAAAGAGATTTAGGAAATAGGGATGGGAAGAGCATTTAAAAATACGTAATTAGATTTGATTTTACTGTATTGAGAAGTGATTAACTTTTATTGTTTTTCATGGTGGCTCCTGTTGACTTAAAAGCAAAGTAGCCATCAAGTCTTTCTCAATATCTTTGACTCTATCCTGAATCAGCCAAAGTCATAGAAAAATATTGTTGACAGTAATATTATTTTACAGTCTGTCATGTTTTTTTGGGAAAAATATATCTGTTCTCCATGACCTATTTTTATCTGAGATCCTGGTTAGGCCTCAGAAAATGTAGTGTCTGCTTGAGTTCTGAATGTGATTCTCTTTCTAGAACTGGATTCCTTGGGAGGTGACTTATGGGATAACCTGATCTGGCTATTGCCTCAGAGTTACTCTCCTCCTGAGAAAGAGGAAGAGTGTGTTTTCTGTCTGTAAAATGCTGATTTGATGATGTCCAATAGAGAACAAGTAGGACAAATATTTGTGTTCAATGAGGAGAATAACTCTTGGAAATTGCAGAAAAGTTTCTTTTCTCCTTTAAAAAAAGAAAAAAATATATATATATACACACACACACACACACACACTTTTTACAGAGAGGAAGGGAGAGGGATAGAGAGCTAGAAATGTTAATGAGAGAGAAACATCAACCAGCTGCCTCCTGCACACCCCCCACTGGAGATGTGCCCGCAACCAAGGTACATGCCCCTGATTGGAACTGAATCTGGGACCCTTGAGTATGCAGGCCGACTCTCTATCCACTGAGCCAAACCGGATAGGTCTGGTTATATTTTTTTGACAGCCATAATAAGACCTTGTTGCTAGGTGGGAGTCCGCCACGGTGAGAAGGGTGTTTCAGGAGCCCATTTTAGTGTAAAATAATTAGGGATGGGAGCAGTACAGAGGTCTTTTGTCCCTTGCCATGGTCTCGGAGGGAAAGGGAAGTGCATTATTAGGAATGACTTTTCTGGGTAGAAAGGTGGCTGTATCCATGTTAAAAGAGACATCTAAAGCTAAGGTGAGTTAGTAATTTATTGTCAAGTCTGGTAGATTTTTGAGAATTACAATAAAATAACAGGCATAAATCAAAGCTTCCTCAGACAAACTGGGAAGTATGGGCTACCCTACTTAAAGCAGTTAAGAGTTTGCCTGTGAAATTTCAAACAGATGTCTTTCTTTGGCAGGCTTTATCTTTTAGGAATATGCTTTAAGAGAAAAATTAGGGGCAACATTTTAAAAACTCAAGAAAAGATTTATGATACCTGAGAGAAATAATGACATTTTTATTCTTTCAGGGCATAGTTTAGTTTTCCAACTGTATTACCATTCTGAAATACACTGATCCATTAAGAATGAAAAACACAGAACTGGAAATGCTGTTGATATTTACGTTATTTTACTTTCCCTTTAAACACCTCTATGTCTGATTGATTAATCCTGCTGAAAGACACTTGGTTGATAAATATAGATTGGAGTGTCAGACAACTTGCAAATTTATTACTATTTGAGAGGGGAAATGACTTAAAAATGTTTTTAATTGATTTTTTTTTAGAGAAACAGGAAGAGGAGAGAGAGGGATAGAGAAAGAAAAGCATCAATTTGTTGTTTCACTTCTTTATGCATTCATTGGTTGATTCTTGTATGTGCCCTGTCTGGGATTGCACTCACAGCCTTGGTATATTGGGACAACGTTCTAACCAACTGAGCTACCTGGCCAGGGATAGAGGAGAAATGACTTTTAATGTGTGTGTGTGTGTGTGTGTGTGTGTGTGTGTGTGTGTGTGTGAGAATTTTATTTTCCGCCCCGCCCCACCTCCCCTGTTGCTATATATGTTATTTCAGAGAAGAAGGGAGAGGGTGAGAGAGAGAGAAACATCAGTGATGAGAAAGAATCATTGATCATTTGCCTCCTTCACACCCTTTCCTGGGGATTGAACCCACAATCAAGGCATGTGCCCTTGAGTGAAATTGAACCCGGGACCCTTTAGTTCTCAGGCTGACTCTTTCCACTGAACCAAACCAAACTAAGGCATGGGAAATGATTTTTAAATATCATGAAATTATCTGGCATACTGGGCAAGTGTAAGATTTACTTTTATACCAAAAGGTCTGCACACCCTAGAGACAAGCAAGGGAGAGGGCCTCCAGTACAAGGGCAGGGAAGCGGGCATCCCGCCAAGCCCTGCAGGTCTGCAGGGAAATGGAGGGTTGTATAGGGATTGTGGTTGGCAAGTGCTTTTAGAGCCAAAATGTGAGGAGGTGATTCAGTCAATAACAACTCCTCTGAGTGCAGTATTTTAAATGGTGTTTTGAAGGTGATTCATTTTTCATACTTCTGATTTAGTTTGCTGGTGGAATGAGGCAGAAGGGCACATCTTAATGTATAATCTGCTGTTTCAAGGTCCTCCAGGTGGAGTTAGAATGACATGGCAAGTATATCACCTCTCAGAGAACAGATGTGGAGGCTAAGTGATCATTATTTTTATTAGTACCATAAAAATGCAATCAACAAGTTTTAAGTTACCTTGAAAGAAAGTTTTCTGAGGAAAACAAAAAGCTGAATTACTAGTAGTGGCTTAAAAAATTATTATTTTGTAGTACAGTGGGATAGAGGAAACCCCTTTAAGGTTTTGTGAAACCAATAATTTGTTAATTAACTGGTAAGTACATTTTATCTAATATGAAATTGAAAATTATAAAGTTCTTCAGTAGGTTTTTAGATAAAAAGTTAATATCATTTTATGTTTTTAAGATGAAATGCTGGTTACTCTTGATCTCCCTTTGTTCAGGGAAATTAAACTATATATTTTCTCAAAGATGAAAGGCTTAATTGATTAACATCTTATTTCCTTTTTAAACTTCCATCATTTGCTGTATTAAACTTAGCTATGAAGTTCCTGACATTTGTGGAAACCTGACCAAAACGATGCATGGGAATTGAGCTTCTTGACATGTTTCTCTCATCTGTTGGCCTGTTTGAAGGATGTAGTTTGCTTTACTGCCATGCTGGCCTTGATATTGGAGCCTTTGATGTTGGCATAGTCTCATCTGGTAACCTGTGTCATTTCCTCTTCCTAATACATTACTTTACTTCCTTTGCTGTTTTGGGAGGGACATTTTCCAGGTGTATGTAGCAAATAAGAGAAAATAATTAGGTGATCATAACCACAAATACAAATTGAGAGATCAACATCTTATGTGTAGCAGATCTTAAACGTGAATATTTTTAAATGTCTCCTGGAATAGTTAAATCTGTAATTTTTTTTTTTTTTTTTTTTTTTTTTTGCTTAAAAATTTTGGGTTAGAAGCTTCTAAGTGCTTATTCTAAAAATTGTAGACTCTAGAATGATTTATTAGGCTGTCTTGAATTAGCTATTTTAGAGTAAATGAGATGTACATTTCAAAGATAACGGCATCTTTTGCTGGTCTATGTAAGAGAACTTGTAAAAGAACTCTTAGTCCAAGATTTGTGTGTTTACTTGATGGTAGGGTAATAATGTTTTTGCACTATGTAGATAAACATGAAAATTATAATTAATATGTGTTGTATAGAATAATGTAGATTATATTTGTCATTAAATGTAATAAACATTGTATTATGTTAGGGAGATAATTGGAAAGGCATGTAGTTATGTAAGCTTGAAAAAAATTCTGTTTTAAAATACCTTTTTTTTTTTTTTTTCTATTTATTTGTGTTATTTTCGTTTAGTTGATTTAAAGTTGATGCTTTGAGGGAGAATCATTTTTAAAAGTAATATTGTTCAGTTTATTGGATACTTAATAACCTAAATATATTCTTAAGACAAACTTAAAGTCTATACACTGCAAGTAGTGTAAATTGACAAAATATAGAAAGTCTAATTAAAAGTAATTTAAATTTGCGTAAAATTTATAGCAAATGCCCACTAGGTGGCACCATGAGAACTCCAAATCTTTTTACTAGACAGTCTGGGTCCTCTTATTATACAATATTAGAGTATGCTTATTCAGTTTGAAGTTCCTTTTTCTCTTACGGGCTTACCTTCTTAACTTTTATTAACTGTTCTTTATTAGCTGAAATTTCTTTATTTAAATTTAAAGTAAATAGGAAGAAAAGAACAGGCCATTATTCTCAAGATAACCACAAAGGAGAATGTGTCATTGTGTGTATGTGTATATGTAAAACAAATAATACAAATTATAAATATTGACTCTTAAAACCTTGGGGCTATCAAGGATAATGCTAAATTTAGAACTTTAGGGGTTGGGTGGAGAAAATAAAGTTATGATATGTTGTGGGAATGGGTTTTAAAGTTGAAGGAACATTAAGGAACATACAGATGAATCTCTTAGTTTACAATTAAAATTGGAATT